TTGGGATTAGAAATACCATACAGACTTAGCACAAATCTTAATTTTATTTGAGTTTAATAATAAGGGGATCATCCAAGTGTCATTTAACTGCAGTGTCACTTCTGTTTATATTGTTTAATTTTTATTTAGAAATGTGCTTATTTAATACGCTTTTAAGTACAAATAAGAAAACTTAAACTACCGGGTCATTAATGGGCACTAAACGGACATCATCTGCGTTCTTTTCTTACAGTTCTTTATTTGCACTCATCTTCCTCCTATTTACTTCTTTATGAAAATATCGCAGTGAATATACATAAAAGGAGGTTTACCTTTTAATCATTCAGACAGGAAAACTGGAAAATATCAAGACTCCTCCAAAATCTCTAACGGAGGAAGGTATTCCAGCATGCAGATTCTGATTCAGCGTCTTTCTTCGTAAGTAAATAACCATTCCCTGTTTTTGAGAAGTGATAATCCGTTCAAAATAATTCAAAAATATCACATTATCTGCTCCTTTTTCCTGTAAATTGCCAGAATTTCAGTCTCATGTTTTGGCAGGGAAATGAGTCATGCAGGTCAAAATGTACTTCTGGATATAGCTTTCAGATGTGTCCACTTTACGTATTGTATTGAACTGTAACATAAATGGAAGCACAAAAAGGTGTTATTTACAAGTATTTAAGTAATACTGTAACTCTCTTTTGTTGTTGTTTTTTTTTCCCATGAGTCTGTAGCCCCAGAGCAACTTTCCCAGGATCCTGTAGAACATTCCGTCGTGCATGAATTTGAAGTTAAATATAGGTAGTTTATGAGGGGATGTTCATCTCCTAAATGGAAAATTCATCCTAGCTGTGGTCACCAGTTCCAGAGCCCATGCAAAGATTGTATATGTGCACCAGTAAGGACAGTAAGATGTGTTCACAGAGAACCTTATAGAAGAGGAAAAAGTTTGCTTATTCCATTAGTGTGAAAAATCTTCCAGTAAGAAACTTAGCATCTAGGCACTGTGATCTGTATTGCGAAAGTGTGTGTTAAAATTACTACTGATTCACTATTATTTAAGAAAGAATTACACACAGGATATTTTTATATAATTCTTTCCTGTAATTTTTTGAAGAGTTTATAATTAAAATTTTTAATTAAAATATATTCAGTACTTTTCTCTGCGTGTCGCAGTCATTACCTCTGTTATTAGAAATTCAAAGGAAATATTTGTTGTAACTTGTGTTCCCTTTGCTGGCACTGTAGAAGTAAGGCACAGCTGGTTTGGAAGCTAGAAACAGAAGACCCCAATGTACTTTCCCAAAGCTTTTAGAATCATCTTTTTTGAGATGGTCTTAATTATATTTTCAGTGAAAGTCCTGCTGTTCCACACAGTGTTGGGTGCTACCTGCTAGACTGCTACAGTGTTCCAAATAAAGGTATGTAAATTTGAATAAATGTGTAAGGTCTACGGCTTTATACTAAAAGGAATGGCAGAAACAGAGGCAGAAAATGACTTGAAGATGTGTGAAAGTGTTTTTGACTAACTCTGGAATCATATTACTGTTGCTACTACCCTTGTTTCCTCATTTTCTTCAGCCTTACTGTTCTTGTTGCTGAAGTTGATGTCATATCCAAATAGAGAGAAAATTTACTAAGATTCAGTTCTTTTATTTGTTCTGTAAAACTGTAGCTCACTTTAGGCACTGCATAAAAAAGTTAATTTACCTGTTGAATTGTGACTAAATGTACTTCTTTTAGCAGATCAATTGATATATTGGAAGATGTTGCCACAAATAATTGGTGGAAAAACAGCTCAGGATATTCTGGACAAAAATCAGGCATTGGAATTTAGATTTTTTTTTTATTATTATTATTTTTTTTGCTGAGGATTAGGTTTATTGGACTTCCTTTTTTATATCTTCAAAGTTTTTTTTTTCTTAGGTTTATTCAGTCTAATTTTTTTGTATTTAATATTTTCGCTTACCACTACTAAAGATGTTGTTTGTTTAAAAGTTGGTAGGAACAGGAAGAGGAAAATATTTATGGGATGATTCTATAGACCCTTATTTTCACAAGTAGCCTTTACAAATGCAAATACCTTGACGTTACTGAAAATTGTTTTGTGAGTGCAGATTTTGCAAAATTTTCATTTGACTTATGATCACTTTGTATGATTTTATCAGAATTCAAAATTTCCTTTGGCGATTTTATTGTTAGAAAGTGACAACGGTTCACGTTGCTAATGTTTCTCAAAGTTAATATTGGGAATGCAGCTGTTATTATTCATTCATACTTTGACATAGATTAATTGGCTTTCTTGGTATTTAAATCCACTATTTAGGCAGAAAACCCCAAAACACTCAGCTGCAACTTTGCTTTGTAGGAATGCACGTGTCCTTTAAAAAAGTATGAGGTGTATCTTAAAATTTGAATATACCTTTAAAAGACCAAGTAAGTACATTGTGTGATTAGTTTTAAATGTTAAGGAAAATTGACTTGTAACGTTTTGGGGTTATACAGTAGAACTGAAGAGTTTACATAGAGTTTCCCCAGTGCTTATGAAGTAACTGAAAATACATACTTACATAAAAATATTTGTTCTATTTTCTTTCTCTGAGGGAAATACAGTGCAGTAAAAAGATGATATGAATATGTGTTAATAAAAAACAGGTATGTATTCAGTAAGTGGGCTTAAATATTAATTCAAAAACTCTGTAAAGAGAAATATTGCAATTGTAATATTATGCCACAACTAAAATGCATATTCTTTTGCATAAATTGTATAAAATACTTCCGTACCTTCAAAGGAATAAGCATGTATGTTCTTATACGTTCTGGTCACATAATGTCTATAAATGATTTTAGTAAGAAAAAAATTAGCACTTGTAAGACTGAGGCCTGGTAAATTAAAATTGCTTTGGTGGATATGGAGGAAATGAATGATTTACTTTTGGCATAGGTAACACTTCATTTTGCTAACTGTGAAGCAAGGTGGTAAATGTTGTTAAATACCACTTACTAGGATTGAAACGTTATTTTGACCTCTACATTACGGTGTGCCAGCTGGTTAGGACTGAAGTGTACTTTGACTAAAAGAAAAAAGGAAAAACAAAATTGATACTTAAAAAAAATTCCATGAGACCCTAGTTATTTTGATTTAGAATATCAATGTGAGGTTAAGTAAAATAATAATTTGATGTTACTGTGGCATCAATGCTAGCTGTGTTAGGCTAATCAATATAAAATAATACTCTAAGTTTATTGTGTGGTTATATATGCTGTGTATATTGATTAATGAATGTGTACATTCATTAACATGAATGGCCTTCTAGAAGGGTTTTTTGATCTGTTCCTCACTATGACATGATGTTCGCTCTCCACCTTATTTCTGGTTGTCTGGGATTCTGAATTTGAGGGAGTCTGCCTTTTGTTAGGGCTAAAGTAATTGTTTGGTAAAAATAATTAACTGGTTTGTGCAAACACAATTTCCTTTATGTGAGCTTTAATTTCTTTGGGACTGTTTAGGAGGATGAATCTAGCAAATCCAACAAGTTAAAAATTCAAATAAATAAATATAACAAAACTGCACAATTACAGTACAATAATAAATACAAACTGTTAAGGCGTAGTATATACATTTACAAGTGTTTGAGGTGGTCTGATTACAAAGAGGTTAAATTATTTAACAGTCTTTTGTTGTGTATATAGGCTAATACATTTTGTATTGCATTTAATACCAAGACTTCATCAAATTCTTTATTTTGTATGAGATTCAAAAGGTAATTTTCAAAATTGTTGTAATGTTAATAGGTGAAAACTATACTTCATGAATCAGAATGTCCAGAGGATCAGTAAAAACTACGCATAAAAGAAAATAAGATCACCATAGGAATGGTTGTAAAGATTCAGTGTTTGCCACATACAAGGTGCTCTAAAGCATCCAGTTTAGAATACATTAATATAAAAATACAGGAGGAGATATTCAAGCCCATTATGTCCTCTGAACATAGATTTCATGACTGATGCTTCCTTTCTCTCTTCTAAAGGAGAAATGCAGTAAAAAGTTCACCTGTTCCCATCTATTCTGCAGAAACTGAAATGCAGAACTGAGCCAAAATAGTACTAAACATCATTTTACTACAATGAAACATAGTTTTAAAGTGTTCTATAAAAGATGTCCACATAACTACTAGTGATAGATAGTTTTTTTGTCACAGAGGAATGAGGACCCTTTCCTTTCTCAAAATTACTCTGCTCTCTCTCTGGCATCAGTCTGAAGTAGCTGGATTTTCTAGAGGAATTTTGCCCTATTGAAGTAGAAAAGATTCTGTTTAATAAAGATAAATGTACAAGACTCATCTCTCTCTGAACAATATCTAATTATCTGTCCTCAACTCTAAGCAGTATGCATATATATTGCAATGCTGAAGGACCCTGAACAGTTCAGATAAAACTAATTGGGCTGCTGTTTCAGCCATTCTCCCTTTAGTTCACAAGAGCAGAGTCTTGCTACTGCCTAATGGATATACTCTTCAAGTGGACTCCTTAAATTCAAAATTTAGGTCCTTTCTGACACATTACCTACATTCTTAATAAAACAAAACATCATCCAGTTGAAATCTGATTATCTTATGGCCTCTTTCATCTCTCCCAGTTAAGAACTCTTTTTATAAATAACACCAGCACGTTTGAATTAATAAGGATAAAGTATTCCTGAGACTGCATTTGAATTTTTCCTGAAATCACTGCAGAAGTTAATTTAAAACAAACATTGCAGGTACTCATGAGGAAAATCCAGAGAACTTCCTGTCCTGAATGTTGTGGACCAGTGTCAGCTCCCTGCACTGCATTTCTGCTTCTGAAAATGTCGCTTCATGGTAGGTGCCCGAGGAACTGCAAACGCGTGCAGTAATGGAGGAGTTAACCAAGGGAGGCAGCAGTGCCCGCTGTGGGTGTGTGCAGCGCCCTCTGTGCTCTCCAGCCACTCTTCTCCCTGCTGCGTTGTGGCTGAGCCGCCCCGGCCCCAGGGCCTCACTGTGCGCAGCGCCAGCTGCTCAGTGGCTTGGCATTTCCTGTCCGTGTCGGTTCCGGGCCTGGGACTGGGTCAGCTGCAGCTCCCAATGTCTCTTCAGGGGGCAGCGGGGGCTGAGGAGCTGGTTTTCTATGTGAATGGAAGGAAGGTAAGTGTCCTAGGGAAGATGTGTGGAGAAAGGGGAGCTGCTGTTCCAGAAGTAGTCCCAAGGAGTGTGTGGGCACAGATAGCATATGGTTTCCTCAGACATGGGAGTATATTCAAATTCTCACATGAAGAGTCCATGAGCATTCCTTCCTTTTCTGCTTCCTTCTAAGTAAGCAGCAGAATCAGTCTTGTAGTGTTACCTTAGTTTGCTAATTCTTGCCCACCCACTTTAAGTACATTTTGAAAAGTGAAAGTAGCAGAGGAGGATGAAGGTGCTTACAACATCCCTTTTTAGCTAGCTCTTCTGGGCTTGGGGAAAAAGCACGTCAAAGTGAAAGTTTAGAACGGGCTTTCAACTGGGTATCACATTTAGCTGATGAGCAAACTAGTTTCTCATTCTCAGATGTCTGGTTTCTCATCTTTGATGGTATCAGAGAAGAGATTTTCAGAGGCACATCTTAAAGTCAGTAAGGCTCGAGTGCTGAACTCTGGGCTACTGGCCAACATAAAGATGATACTGCAAGAGAGGAATTAAACTGTTTATTATGAATTCAATGCAACTGGAAGGATTAGCTGATTTTGAACAACAGAATATGAAATCATCTAATCAAACAAGAATGTAGGCGTTTCTTGCTCTGTTAGTATAGTCTGTCTATTAAGGCAAGTGAAAGTTAATATAAATCCAGAAGAAAAGTGATCCCTGCTGCTGTCCTTTACAGCCTTCCTGTAATGTTCATCCCAGTAGGTCAAAGTGTCTCTAAAGTCTGCAAATCATTAATTCTTTATGCTCTTTATTGCAGTGAAGTCTTGTTGTATTTTTTTTTTCTAGTGTAGTTCAAGATAAATTCCTTCAAAAACAACTACTCGGTGAAAAGTCATGTTAGTAGTTGCAAGCTGTCTTGGCACTTTCTTTCTGGAAGCATATCTATTGAGGAAGGAATTTCTAGAAGGAGGCCAAACTCTCTGGTCTTTGGCACTTAGAGTAGTTCTATGAGAGGGAACCGGGGTGGGGATGGAAGGGGGAGGAGGAGGAGGAGGATTTTCTTCTGAGTTTATGGTAATCTGTAGGGTAGTCTGTGCCCTGAATGAAAAGTCTTGCTGTCTTGGTTAAAGCTTGAGTTTCCTTTCTTACTGCAGATAATAGAGAAAAATGCTGATCCTGAACAAATGCTGTTGTCTTATCTGCGGAAGAGACGTATCCTTTCCTTGTTTGTTCCTTTATGTCACTCACATGAAAGCTTCATTCAAGCAAAGATCTCTTAAAAGATAACTAAAAAGTAATTTACCTAGTTAAAGAAGTTGTGACTTCCTTAAGAAGATAAAACAACTGTATTAGATTAGGTATCCTTCCTAAGTGAAATCTCTTCAGTGAGCTACTGAATTTTTAGCCTAGTTTCCTAAACAAACAAGAGTGATCAGGCGCTATCTGTATGTGCGTGTCTGTGTATCTGTTCCTCCCCTACAAAAGAACCTTAAGAATGTTTTGGCCAGTATGAATAAAATTTGATAAGAGTAGGAGTCTCCGAGTTTTGTGAAAGTCTCTCACACAGCCTTTCACAGGAAAGGGGAGATAACTTGGCATGAGACCCAGAGTCTGCTGGAGTTTTGAGGTAATCTGCCTTTTTCTTGTGATAAGCACTCCAAACAGGTTTACAAACTCAGAAACCAGCTTTTAATAGTAAATAAATATGAAAAAATAAGTTTTTAAATCAGAGGAAAATTAAAAATTAATTAGGTGAGACAGAACAGAAATTGTGAGAACTACAGCTCTCACCCTGCCTGTTGTGTCTTTGCAGGTAGGTTTGTTTCCTCCTAGCTTGGTTTCAGTCTATGACTCAGTGGCTTTCTGGGTTGATCCAAATTTTACACCACTTCCTCTGATCCACTTCTTTCTTTGACTTGCTGGCACCTTGAAAAATCATTTAATCTTTTTGTATCATTATAAGTTATGTATCATTATGCTTTTAAAATGAATGTAACATTAACTTGTCTTTCAGGAGCCTAGTTAGCGGTTGTACCGTGCAGTTTAAATGACAGCTTAAAGTATTCCTGCCCTCTGCTGCTTGTGTCTGTATGATGGTGTGCCATCGCCTCAGAGGTTTCTGCAGAGCTCTTTCTGAAACCACTCTGTTAGCCAGACTGAGGAACTGATCCTCCTCTTAATAAGCCTCCAAATATAGTTAAGCTAACATAGCTAGGGGGATAGCTGACTCCGGAAAAGAGACAAAAATGAGTGGCAGGGAACAAAGACAGGACAGGAGTATCTTATGCTGATGTTGCCAAACTCTTTGTGGTGTGAAATGTTTGCCTGAGTGACCCTGAGGAGCTTGAACATCTTCCAGTACTGTATTTTATAACCGCAAGGTGCATTATAATACTTACCTAAGCATCTTCTTGGGGAGGGTAAATGCTATAGGAATTGGTGCATTAGGCTAGTATTAATAACTGGAAGGGCAACTGTGAAACAGCAAATAAATAGAAGAGCAAGAAGGAAAGAAACTACATCTTAAAATGTATTTGCTTTATCTGACAGAGTAGAGTGTCTGTGGAAGTGCTCTATAATCAGAAAAAGTAGTAGAGATAAGACCCAAAGGCAACACACTCCTTCTCAAAGCCTTTCTGAAAGTGAAGAATTTTAACCCCAAAAGTGACAAACACTTTTCTTTTGATGATGTCGTGTGAAAAGAGACCATCATTCCTTCCATCATTCCCTGCTCCTGGCGGAGGACTCTCTTTCCTTACCTTGTGCCAGTCTCGGAGTTCCTCAGACCTTTCTGTGTACTAATTCCACTCAGACCATCAGAAAACTAACCTAGTTAAACTAGGTCGGTAAACTAACCTCAGATTGACCAATGCTGCAGATTCATGGAAGCAAGTGCTGTGCTCCTAGAAGAGTGATCTTTCAGCTGAGATGCAAGGTTAATGTCCTGACCATAGATGAGCCTTAATTTTCCAACGTCACTTATGGGAAAAACTGGGATATTGGCTTTAGCGTCCCACTGGAAGTTCAAATATGTAACTATTTTGCCCATTACGTGTTTCTACCTTTCATATTTTCACTTTGAAAATTATTTTTCACTGCCTGTTTCTGTCTCAACTTACTCCTCTTCCTCAGAGGAAGTCAGAATCAAGTTTTTTCTATTTCCTTGATGAGAACAGGATTTTGGTCACATCATTCCTTAGCTTCGATATTCTTTTAACTGAAAATTTTTAATTTGACATAGAAAGGAGTCTGATATATATGTTATTGCACCTAACCAATTATATGTTCAAAAAATTCAGGAAAAAAGTGGTCCTCGAGCTTTGACGGAATGAAGGCCAAAACTGAAGCCTTTTTTTATTTTTCCCCTTAACGGCAGCACTTTCAGTCCATCTTACAGGAACTAAATATGGCTGTGGAGGAGGTGGCTGTGGTGCTTGCACGGTGATGATATCAACTTATGAAGCAGCTTCCAAGAAGATACAGTATCCTTAACAGAAAATTTGGAAAACTCTACACTGAATTTTATGACCGTAGATACCATTCCCAGATAAAAAGTGTAAAAACAAAACTGTAAAATGTGTACTTAATAGTAAAAGAATGCAAAGGTAGGGTCACTTTAAACCAAAAGAGAACACTATGTAAAATACTGTTCGTTCAGCCATGTTATGAATTTGCTGAAATGTCATACTCAAATTTGTAATTTTCTCATATATACTAACCACTCCTGTGAGGGCCTTTCTCTTCAAGAGGTATTCATTTGACACACTTCATATTGCCCAGTGGAAATTAGCTCATACCTGCAGTTCTCGCATGTGACTGACAGGAACATGGGGCAGCCAGAGGTTTCAGCTGGATCAACTTAGACCTTTTAATTTAATTCTGAACACCCCCAAAAGAACCCAGAAGGACTTTGAAACTCACAAAATGAGTTTCATCAAGCTAAAAAGTATAATCATTTATTTTTAAGTTGAGGAAATGCCCAAGAGGTTATTTAAGACAAAATAGAAGTAAAATGGGTAATAAACAATTCTCTCCCCCTCCCTCTGATCTTGCAGGCTTGGTTTCAGCCACCTCAGTGGCTTTCTGGGTTGCAGCAAATCTGCATCATCCTCTCTGGTTCCTAGGAAATTTGTTTCTGTCAGCCCGGAGACTTGGTTCTGGAGCTGATCTCTGCTCCTCGCAACAGTCTTTCAGTCTCTCTGCTGTAGATCTTTAGCTTCTTGCTGTGAGTTTTCACAGGACAGCAACACTTTATCAAGAGCTGATACTTTCTTACTGCAATGTGTCAGTTACTGTTTATATAGCAGAATTTCAACAGCCCTCCATCTCTTGAGGTCAGTGTTGGCTAATGTGGTGCTCTGTGAAAAACTTGTAATTTTTTCGCTTTTGAATTTCCATCCAAAAAAAAAAGTTCATCAAACTGTTCAATCAGAACATGTCATTGTCAGTTGAGTCCTTTTTTAGGTGGGGAAAAAGTCAAAGTGTTCTTCTGACAATTGCATTACATTGGAATGCAAAGCAAATACAAATATTTAGAGTTATTATAAAAGTTGAATCAGCATGACACTGTTGAAAAGAAACATTTCAATCACAGTAAATCAAAACATTTTATTGTTAATGATGAAAAGCTTTTCAAAATTTTCATTTTGATATGTTGTCCCTATTTATTTATTTATTTTTTTTTTACGTGAGAATTTCCTTTGGATCAGAGATTCAGATTCCAAATTATCAGCACTAATTCTCCTTTACTTCCTGCAAAGGACTACACCAACCCTCTCGTCCCCTTCTTCCTCCTCCAAAGCACACTCACAAAGGTTGCTCATGGGCAAAAGAGATTAGAGGGCAATTGGAAGAGACAAAAGTATTAAGGAAGATATAAACTCTCCAGAACTGTCAATATTATTTCCTCATAGATGCAGTTCTTATACTGGGGACAAGGCACATTGCTAGCATGCAATCCCTCAATAAAGCTTATTGTGGTCTTATTCCAAATTATAGTAATGACTGCTTTGTAAGTGAAAACTATATCTTGATTTACCACAGAATAATATTCCACTCTCTTTAAGCTCCCTGATTGTCCTTTATATTCCAAAGACATTATTCAGCAAATGCCTGTCTGCTTCCCATTTGCTCCTTGTATGGTGCAGCAGTCACCACAGTGGAAGGTGTTGGAAGTACAAAAACCAGGCTTCATCCAGTTCAGGTGAGAACACAGTGTCGTTATATAATAGCATTACTGATTTCTTCCTCCATGTGGACTGCATTGAGCGGCAGTGCTTTAAGGGCACTGGGATTTCATATGCTGATTATGATCCCCGAATAACAAAAGATAAAGATATAGTTGATCAGGATGGATGAAACATGGCTCATTATATGTCTTGCTTTAGTATTGACAGCCTGATCAAATAATTCATGTATAAGAACTGTTGGGAGTGTAGTGCTCCATTTGGAGAAATGATGTGTCTGGACAGTGACCCTTAGCTGACATTTTAGTATAGATGCAAAAAAACATGAAAGTCCCCCGAAGGGTAATTAGCTTCCCTAATAAGATGTGCTTTGGCATTACACCCAAAATAATTATTTGTATCTGAGATTGGCTTACTTTAAAAGTCTGAATTGCTATGAAGACAGCACTTAGTATTACTTTTCCCATATCTGAGTGGGTTTCTTAGGACTGTGAGGTACACTGGAATGAGGGCTATTTGTGGTGGTTAATTTCAGGAGAGGCTTGCCAAGTGCCATGGCTCCCAATGTGGTTTCTGCACCCCTGGAATGGTGATGTCCATATACACTTTGCTAAGGAACCACCCAGAACCCACTTTGGAGCAGATAACTGCAGCCCTGGCTGGTAAATATTGCCACTTTTAATTTGTAGGTATGTCCTTAAGCCATTTCTTCCTTCTGATACTCTGTCTATGTGCCTGCCAGTCTGGTTGAATACATATATGCATACATTTAAATTGTGCTTCCCCACAGAGCTGGTTTTGGTACTGGATACAAACCTTGTATTCCCTATCACTCTTGGAAAATGAAGCAGGGAACTGTGAACTGTTGCAGGGACACATGTTCAATACATCCCCATATACATCTTTTGAAATGTCAGATGTGCAAAAAATTGTGACATATTGGAGAAGTAGCTGCATCTGAATATCTCGGTCTGAAATCCCATCACATCTGGAGTAGGGAATGTCATAAGCCTCATAGGAGAGCCCTTTTGTGATAGGAATAAAACAGTCAAATAAGGGAGAGAGTCGTGTAGACCCTCTTCACTAAGGGCAAATGTGAATGTTTATTGCAGGAAAAATAGCTTCTGTCATTTGTTGTATACTTGAATCACAGAGGAGCCAAAGACATTTCCTGTTCCTGTGAGATGAACTAGGTGGCGGTATAATGCTATCCTCCCATACTGTTAAAAATAAAATGGAAGGAGAAAAACGTTTTGAGTGGGTGAGGAATCTTCTGCAATGTTGTATCTCCTATATGCTGGTCGATAGTCAGTATTCCCTCTAATCCAGCTCTCAAGTATTTCAGCACCCTCTTTGAAACATTTTTTTTTTCCTCGGGACTTGCTGGATGTTAAGTCTTGTGACACTCTGATCTTTACTGTCTTTCAGAGAGCTAACACTTCTCCTTAAGCTTCAAAAAGAGAAGCTTTCTGGAAGGACATGATATTTAAAATCCACGTACTTTGGACAAAGTACAAGAACAAAGCTTTTTCTTGCTCCTTTTTTCAGGGAACTTGTGCCGATGTACTGGGTATAGACCAATCCTAGATGCCTGTAAAACCTTTTGTGAGGTAAGGAGTAGTAATGATAGGAATACTTGATCATGCCTATAAGTACTCATCATATATTTATGAGCTAATGTTTTTCCTGTGGAAACAGGTGCATGAAGAGCAATGGCTTACTGTAAAATGCAGTATCCATATATCTCCAGACCATCATCATTTTATATTAAGGTCTTATCTTCCCTCTGTTAAGAGATGTAAGTTTTCTGTCCCTGTAACTCAAAAAAGGTGTTTAATGGCCTACCATGTAGGAAAAACTGTGATTGATGCGAATGAAATTGGATTACAAAGAGTAACCTGGAATAATTTCATATGCTTTATTGTGGGTCAGTACTGGCATAAATAAAAGCAGAATTTGGATTTATGTTCTTTATTATGTAACACTATGTATCAGACCTGCAGTGGAAGAAATGGTAAAGTGAATTGTGAGTAAAACAAACAATTCAGACTGTCCTGTGTGTACTCCCTCAAGGTCAACTGCCTTTCATATAGTACACATTGTATGCAGCATTTTGCATTAAGGACTTTAACATGATAAGATTTTAAGATATTTTTTGAATATCACTCCTTTAACACACAAATCCTTCCAACTTAGCTTATTATTAAGATTCATCCAGAACTTCATTGAAATATACAGACAGACTGTTACTGGCTTAAGTGGACTTTAACTTACTGCTATTCTGGGAAGTATTTTGCTAATGGAATATGCCTATTTTAGGAATCAATTTGCTGTCAAAGTAAAGCAAATGGAAAGTGTTGCTTGGATCAAAAAGATGATTTATTTGACAACGGAGAGAAGGTGAGATTTTAAGTATTTTCACTCTCCTATTTAGAAATAAAACTTGCACAACAGAAAGAATATTGCATTGTTTATTTCTTGCGATTAAAATAAATGCAGTATATGCTGCCATTTTTATCCTTCACCTGGTTCACCTTATTCCATAATTTTACCCTTTTTTTTTTTTTTTTAATCAGACATTGTTGTATTTTTTGTAAGGAACTTGAAGATATTCCTAAAATCTAAGGATTGTTTGTATATATTTGTACGAGGAAGAGATCATGTAGACGATAGTTGGTAGAAGGTAGTTTGGATGTGCAGACCTAAGTCTCGAGCAATTCTTCAAATTCAGGAATATTAATATTCTTAGATTATGATCAGTGCATTACTGAGAAATCAGGACATATGTGGAGCTATCTAAAATCAATGATCAGTGATGATCTGAATGTAATCGATGATGATTTCTTAGGAAGCTCGCTGCTGGCTTGAGTCCAAAGAATGAAATACTCCTAAAATCAATCATGATCTTTTTTTTTTGTTATCCATGTGAACATTTGACTTTGTTCTCAGTTTTCATTCAATGATATCTTAATCTACTTCTCTGCCTTTTGAGTACAGTAGGTTGGAATGAAGTGGGCTACTACTTTATAGCGGGACTATAGGAAGCTTGTAGTTAGTCTTTCAGTTACTTGCCTGTACACTCTTGCCTGTACACTCTCACTTCTATTAGCAGTGAGCTTTGAGAAACTGTGATGAGCGCTTCCCTCACTTCAGCAGCTCCAAGTGATGCATGGTAGTTTAGCACCAAATCCAAAGACTAGCTGAATTATTAGTTTTCTAATGACTTCAGTGGGACCCTTACAATTGTTTCTTTTTGTATGGAATTAAGGATGCAGAAAAAATTATTGTTCTTTATTTGTTTTCTGCCTTTTTTAAGGTTTGCACCAGACTCTTTTCAACAGATGGATTTCAGCCTCTAGACCCTACCCAGGAGCTTATATTTCCTCCAGAACTAATGGTAATTTGTATTGCTTTTAGACTATTTTTCAACTTTACCTTTTCCTTAACAGTGGTCCCTGGTACAGGATTCATTCTGATGTCCTGCTTATCACTGGTTCATAAGAAGAAGTGTTGTAACATCTTTATATCAATCCAAAATTATACTCATTTTTTGCAGTGGGTTCTTTGAATAATCACTTATAAAAGATAATCGTATTGGGGAAATGAAGTCACAGAGTTGAGCTCTAGATGAGAAGACAGAGAAGTAACCTGAAGTGGGTTATCAATGCAGCACTTGAAGATTCTAATGCTTCTCAGCAAACTGGATGGCGAACACTTTATAGCATTGGCAAAACAATGTATTTTCCCCATTTTGTGGCATAATAGTTTTGCTGAACTTTTCTCTCAAAATGTCAGCCTCAGACCAGACTGGGTCTGAGGCTGGGGAGCATTTAGCCCCAGTGATTAAAGTGTGATAAAGAGGTAAGTGGCTGAAATAAGGGTACTGGAATGGAAAGTGTCAGGCATCCTTAATTATAGACAACAGTATTTGCTTTGGAAAGGCTAAAGGCTGTTTGCATTGCATTATTGTCAAGGTATGGATCTCAAAACAAAACTTCTCTATAACTAGCTGTCTGCTTACAGAGAAAAGTTGAAAACTGGAGGTGCAGGAGTTCCCGACTGTGGTATTTGTACCACCACTAGTTCACAAACTATTTGCAAGGGGTCAATGAACAGAACAGCCAGATGCATCCTCGTGTGTACTTAATCTATGAAGGGATGCTGCTGCCAATGTCACTGGTGACCTCCAAGCAGACTAATTGTATAAAGCCCTCCCTAGGTATTTTTTAATTTTTTTCCATTAATTTCAGCAGGTATAGGATCTTATCCTACACTTTTTGTTTGGGGGATGTTTATTATCAATTGTGTTTACCAGCCTATTGGAATGATTTGAAGATGTTTCATCCATGAAGTGTAAATTTCATCATTGTGTAAAAGGCCAGCCCAGCAGTACCATTTCTATCCTATTTTGAAGGATTAAATAGAACTGCCATTGTTTAAGGCCTTTTCTTGATCTCCAGTTGAGTGTGAGGTCTATTAGATGCCTCCACCTCGCTATATGTCTAAATATTTAAATCTGCTGTATTTCCCCATCAGAGGATGGCTGAAAATCAAGCAAAAAGAACTCTGGTTTTCCATGGGGAGAGAATGACATGGATTTCTCCTGTAAGCTTAGATGAATTACTGGATCTGAAAGCTGCCCACCCCAAAGCACCTCTTGTGGTTGGGAACACCAACGTGGGTATGTACAATCAGAATGGCTCCGATTGCCATAGCTTCAGTGGGCATGGGAGTAGAAGAGCTACACTTACTCGTGGTTTTCTATCCCTAAGCTTAAGCTCCACTGTTAAAAATGCCATTATGGAAAAGTAGTGATTTTTTTCTTTTATATAAGTGTCTTTCTATTTAATAGGACCTGAGATGAAATTCAAAGGAGTACTGCATCCAATTGTTATTGCTCCAGCAAGGGTTCCGGAGCTGAACTTGGTACAACGCACGGATGATGGTTAGTAGGCTGTACTTTGTTCAGACATGCGAGATTCCTCTGCAGTAAGGAATACCTGATCCGTTCTGTAGTACTGCAGGTGTGAATTGCTGTGCAATGACTTTGGCTCTCTAGTCATGCCTAAGCATGCTTGGTTCATTCCTGGATCAAGGTGACTGTGGCCACTAGTGGTCCTAGTGCGTGATACAGAGATTTACAGTACAGTACTGACCAGGAATACCCTTCTGGGTCCTGTTAGCCATATTACTGCAAGGATAATTATCCTGACAACACTGCTTCTGGTGCTAAGCCACGCAGCATTTGCTTTTAGATCCCTGTACCATGCTGTATTATGTAGCATAGATAGACCCATAGTTAGCAACATTGCAGGCTTGCCCACATTAGGGAAAAAAGGCTGTGGGCTGTGGTTAAACTGGAATAGCTAATATACATTAACTAACCTAGTTCTCAGCAATGACAGTATTATTTATTGTAGATTCACACTTTTTGCCTCAATTTATATATTTAAGATCAATATAGAGAATTTTTAAAATTTAAGTTGAATCAGTTTTTAATTTTGAGGTAAATTTGATTGAAATTAGAAGTAGCAACTCTAGATAGATTTAAACTTACTATAGTAGTCTAAATTAGATGAATATAAATGAAGTTGTGCATGCTTACTGCCAAAGTGTTAAAGAATTCAAGCCCTAAATGAAAATTTCTTATTATATGCCCGAATCCATTTTTTTTTTGACGTGGTAAAGTGCATTTGACAGTTCTGTCATTGCATTTAGAGTATCTTTTTCGTTTCGGTTCAGCCAGCTAGTTCAGCTCAATGACTATTTTTTTTCTTAGCTGAGAAATGATTGGGAGTTGAGAGAAGCAGGGATAATGTTTACTGCTTCTTTTAATTTATCAGTAAAATCCAGTTATGAGAGGATGAGACTTACAAGTTCTAAAATGAGAGATAAGCAGTTTAGTTTGCCAGCCAGAGATAAAATTACCTCTATTTAAGCAGATTTAAATGCAAAACATATTTTGATAAACTTCAAAATACAAACTTTAGCATAATTTGACTTGATTAATAAAAACTATTTTTAATTATATATTTTTAATTTGTATTTTGACTGTATCCCAGTGTCCACTCAACATTTACACAACTCATGATTAAAACAGTTAATAATTTTGAACAGAAGTGCACCCTTTGCCATTTTATAACATAAATATTAAAAATATAATCTGAACAAATACAAAAATGTATAATTGCTCAACTAAATGCAGACAGCTATAGATTTTAGTGGGTGGAAGAATACCATATTTATAGTGTTAGGACTATTCTGTTGCAGAGAGTGCCTACCTATTCTTTATGAAAATAACTAAAATGTACACTGTGCAAAGCAAGATCAAATTGTGATGAAAATCATGATTAAAAACAGGAAGTACCAAAGTGTTGAAAACATTTTGAAATTGATTAAGTGCTCAGGTTAGGCTTCACCCAAAGGCGATTCAGTCAAAGCTGGTGCAAGGGAAGCAGTGGAAATGAGCAGCTGACAGCAGGAAAGGAAGTTCCCTTTTACTGGAAGTGAGCCATTAGCTCAATTTAGACATTTCATGAAACTTCACCCTCAATCTCCTGAATTAAAAGATCACTGTCCCTTTAAAATGCAAAGGCTCTTCACTTTATACCTGCCCATGCTGCACATGAGTAGTTCCGGCTCTACGATCTGGACATGGTTTAAAACCTAGCAAGTAAAATAATGCTCACGTTATACTTTTTTAACATTTTGGTTACAGGATTAACTCTAGGAGCGGCCTGCAGCCTCACTCTAGTGAAAGACATCCTGACAAATGCAATCTCGGAGTTTCTGGAGGAGAAGACAAAGATTTTCCGTGCTGTGTTGCAGCAGTTAAGAACTCTGGGTGGAGAACAGATAAGAAACGTTGCTGTATGCTCTGTGTTACTTGCAATAACATTTGCATGAGTGAACCAAACTATGTGAAATTGTTCCTGACCACATGTAAAACTTCCATTCATTTTTAATTCTGTTTTTAGCTATGAATTTTTTGTCAGTACATCTTTTTTGAGCTTTTGTTTTGTGTAATCTTACGTGTAATCTTCATTCAATCGTTACGTTAACACTTAACGTAAAAATGATGATGATGATGGAGAAATTTGAGAAATTTCTTTTCTTTTTTTTTTTCAAGTCATTAGGTGGAAACATTGTAAGTAGAAAATCTACCTCAGACTTGAATCCCATTCTGGCAGCTGGCAATTGTATACTCCATCTGGTGTCAAGAGGTAAGAAGACAAATCTGGTCTTTCTATTTGTGCCAGAGGAGCAGGATTATATTGTATGGGGGGAGAGGTTGAACCTACAACTGTGAATGTTTGTTGAGGAACTCTCTTCCCACCCACATGTAAGATCACATCTGCAAGAGAAGGAATGTGCATACTAAGAACATGTCAAAAAGTCTCACATTGAAGATAAGCATTCAGACTAGTCAAATCACATGTACTTCTATAGGCGGTGAATTACTAAAAGCACTCATAAACCCTCACAGCTGGAGAAGCCACATACCATCTCCTATCCCCAGTATTTTTCTGTAGTTGATGCTTTGCCCTTGTTTTAAAATTACCTTCTGGCCTTGACAAGATCACCTGCTTCTCCTTCCTCCCAGATGCTTCCAAAGCGAGAGCTACTAGTCCAGCTCCTTTTTCCATGCCCTCCCCGTGAATCCTCATTTTCCTTCCATCACTGTTTATACTCCCCTCTACTAGCTCAATTCCTTGTGCTCTACCTTACTGTGGTGAAAATTTTGGTACGCATGGCTTGTGATTACAGTTGTAAACAGAATCTGGTGGCCTGCAACTGCACGCTTTCCTTCCCAGGTGGCTTATGCCCTTTTTGCCCTTGAACGAGACAGAACACATGTTGCTATTTCAGGCCATGTAATACACCACTCAGCACCCTGAAATACATGTTCTTTACAGGGTTGTGTCTGAGCCAGGATTTCTTGGACCGGAAGCACAAATGGTTATGCTGTATTGTTTCTGTGATTTTTTTTTTTTCCTGCATAGTTTGGCAATGAAAGGTGGAATATCTGTCAGGATGTCCTTCTGACAAGTGACAATGTAAACATTTACATCTTCTTAGTGACTCCAATAACATGCCTACTTATTAGGGTAATGAATAGGAGCGCTTGCTGATAATCTCTTTCTGTTAACCTGGGAGATCCTTACAGGTGGATGTGGATTTTAGGCCTCTTCAGAAGTCTTTAACATATTTCTTTACCAAATGGTAGACAATGACGTAAGAAAAGGAGATTTCAGAAACACTATTAGTTCTTAGTATTTATCGTAGACCATAGTGTAAAAGAAAACGTATCCTCCCAGATACTGGCAAGCTTATAGGTGGGATTGGACACTAACTTTTTTACATGTAAACGAAGTGTTTGGAATTACAAAGGCAAAAATTCAGAAACTGCAGTGCTGTTCTTTTTATCAGTGTTACTTTTGAGATTCACACTTCAGCCAAAAAAATTCTTTTACTAAAGTTTTGCACACTAGTCACACTAGTATTTTAGCGATGCAATTTTAATGCTAAATGATATTCTAGGATGAATAGGTTACAATGTCATCATCCCATATAACACGAAAAAGAAATCTTACTTTAAAGCAGCCGCTGCTGAAGTATCACATCCCTTGAATGTGAAACGAGTGTTTCAATATCTGAACCATTTACAAATGATGCAGAGATTGCCTGTTTATAGGAGGTCTTGGGACTAGGTCAGGGCTATCACAAGATAAATACTGTCTAGCAATAAGAAATCAATTCTTTTAAAAAGCATTGTATCCGCTGTTCAGCATATGCGAAGTACTAAGTGCACAGAAGATTAGTAAAAGATAACACTTTGACTTCATCTGATAAACACACAAGGTTAAATTCTGTACTGATGAATCATTCATTGTTGCTTTCCATCTGTGTACAATGTGAGGTTTGTGCTGCTGTTTTTGCAAGATCACAGTTCTAACTGACATAGTTGTGCTACTAGTAAAGTTGTGGTCACATGAACGAAACCCCTTTAGCCAACAGAGCTTGTTTAATTGCCAGAATCAGTTACATGAGTTGAAATATATGCTGCATTTTCACTGGGAAGGCCTGCCGGCTTAACTGATGTAGTGATATTGGCAACCCCCCTTATAGTATTAAACCAAAGGATAAGTGTGCAGAAGGCTCTTAAGGTTTTAGATACCTCTCAGAATTTTGTCCTCTTTCCATTTGAAAATGCCAACTTTAATCTTATATCTCATTGAATGATGAATCTTAGTCACTTTCAGAATAATCCACCAAAAAGAGAGAGAAAAAGGCAGTAGCATTTGTTCCCTTCAGGGCTCCAAGAGCTGTTCAGAGTCTCAGGCCAAAAAAAAAAAAATTCAGCTTACTTTTTTTCCAACAGTTCTCTCCCAGTCTTCTTCCTCACTCCCTATGCCTTATCAGGAAAGGCGGTGATGACAGCACCTGCAGAGATTGGGAGCAGATTGACAGGGGCAGGGGGAGGGATCAGTGCAGCAGCATCAGAAGGGACAGTTATGGAATGGGGATCATTCCCTAGGCCCTTTCTTAGGGCTGTGGTCTTTTGATGCTACAGAAGACACTTTCATTTCTAGAGCATACCGCTGATGAGATGATATTTAAAGTCTGAGGTCATTATTTTACCATGAAGACTGCAGGTATTCCTTGCCAATTAAAATATGACTGATGTATGTGAATTGCACACTTAGCACTGTACAAAAGTTTCCTAAGTTGTTTTGTTGTTGTTGTTTTTAGGAAGAAAGCGACAGATTCCTTTGAGTGATATTTTTGCAGATGGAGCTGGTAACAGTACCATTATGCCAGAAGAGATCTTGGTCTCTGTCTATATCCCCCATTCTAGGAAGGTAAGTTTCTAATTTGTTTGTGCAAAGTTAGACACTATTAAATAAAGAATGGGGCGGTGGAGGGAGCATAATCCCTATGTTTAAAGTAACACTATTATTGCTCACTTTCTGAATTGAACTTGATCCTCCCAATGCTATACTATCTCCCAGTTCAAGCCAAAAAACACAATTCAGCAGATTGTTGGTGAAGAGAAGTATTCAGATAAAAGATTACCCCAAAGTGATGAGGGCAATAACTATTGGGAACTCATTACAGAAGGGGGTCTTGGACAACCTGCCATAGTCCTCACCCGAGCTGGCTGCCCACCTGTGATATAATTGGCATTGATTGGGTAAAGCCCTGTCATCTCTTGAGGATTTTGGCTGAAAAGAGATAAGATGATTAACATGTTTGTGATGTTTGCATAAATGTTACTGAACTGAATAATAGTCTTACAGTGGTACTGTGTTTGCAAGAATGGATATGGTATCTTATAAGAGAATTCTGGGCCATATCATTGGAGAACTGAAGTTTGGCAATACTTTGAAGCCTGTGAGCTTTGATCCTGTTCTAAGTGCAACTCTACTGTCCTCCTCCCCTGCACAAAATGCCTGTCTTCCAGCTATCTATGAGAAGGTCTAAGTCATCTGAACTGTGTGAATGATGGAAGATCAAGTCAGGGCTGCTAGAAAATCAGGGAAGACAAAACCACTGAAAGGTTGATAGGAGAAAGTGAATGGTTGAATATTTAGGGATTGTTTAGGAAGTGGAATTTGTGCACTCCTTTTTTTTTTTATTCTCTTACTTCATATGCTGCAATAATAAGTTCTACTTTCAGATACTTATATATGTGTGGGTTTTCCATTTCTGTCTGATCTTGCTCAGGGCGAGTATGTGTCTGCATTCCGACAAGCACCACGACGGGAAAATGCTCTCCCAATAATCAATGCTGGGATGAGAGTTCTTTTTGAAGAAGGCACAGACATAATAAAAGATTTAAGCATTTTCTATGGAGGTAGTGCCTCAACCACAATCTGTGCAAAACAAACCTGTCAGGCACTTATTGGAAGGTACAGTATCAATTTTTCTGCCTTCTCCACATCTCTAGGTAAATGGATTTTGGCTTGCAATATTGAGAGATAGAGATAGGATGTACTCTCTTGGAGCATGAAAGTACACAGGTTTCACGTGCCTAGCTGATGCCATATATGCCACATTCATATAAGTGAATGATTTGGTCAAGCCTGAACGATAACAGTTCAAGACTGTTACATTTTGAAATCGGTGCAGACCTCACGGAAAATCTCACCTTGTGCCAATTCTTTCTTGTCTGGGGTCCCCATGTGTTGCTGATATGTCATCTCTGACCCCGGTGGCTATAAATAGACATACAAAGGGGGTGCTACTTGATTATTATCGAAGGAGGCAGTGACAAGAACACTTAGGAATGACTCCTCAGCAAGAGGACGTGGCTTGCGCCTCCTTTGCTTACTGGGTTTGAGGATTTTGATCTGACCTGAGGTGATAGTTACCTAACTTGAATCTCCTCTGCTGCTGAGGGAGATAAATAGAGGATGATAAGTCTAGTTCAGTTCAGCATTATCAGCCAACTGGTAGTGGCAGTTGGAATGTACCACCCAGACTGCTCTTACCGGATTGCAGCTTTTCCTCTATATCACAGCTTAGGTAGATGATAGGAAGGGATGTGAATAAGCCAGTGCCTTTACATATTCTGCCTGGGAGTCTTTCTCATACATAGTGGGCAGATTAGGAGAAAATAAGAACCTAGTTTAAGCACTGGAAAATAAAGGGTAAGATGGAAATTCATGGCAACCATTTTTCCTACACAGCAAGTGACTATGTTCTGGGTTAGATTTTGAGGAATCTCACATTGTTTTGGTGTTTATCCTATACTAGTAAGGTTGTCACTGTATAATTACTTGGTGTGGCTCAATTGTTAGGTTATTACTTCCATGAAAATGTTTTTCAGAATACTTGAGTCTTAATAATATTAATGCTTTTGTTTATATTGTGACAATGCTGGGAGCTAGGTAATGCGCTGGAGTTATGTTTCCTACATATTAGAGCTCAGTTGAGTCTGATCACAAATGAAAATGAGTCTCTGATGAAAATTATTTTAAGATAAATATGGCCGGTGGGAACATTTCTGTTAAGTTAAATGGAGTTTGGGTTAGGCCCTAAATACGTTAGTCTGTCGTAAAATGTAGCAAAAAAAGATCTGTAAAGAATCCTTTGATTTCAAGGGAATTTTACCTGGTAACTAGATAGGAGGCAAGACTGAATTCATTCTTAAACAACTCCTAGAACACAGGGCTGCGCTAGTAAGAGTCTAGCCACTCACAGAGCACGCAGAGGGTTTGAGTGAATGACCTGGACTGTGTACATGCTCCTTAGTGCAGTTATCCACTTTATTAAGAAATAACAAAAAGTAAAGGATTCCAAAAAAAATCTTTAAACCGTCCTTTTTCCAGGGAGATGGCTGGGACCAAATGTCTTTCCTAGATTTTGGGCTGATTCGCTTTCTTTTCAGTCAGTGTTTGATTTAGCAAGTTTCTTTGCCTTTGGAATTGCATTTAAATTTGGGAACCTTGGACCTCTGATCATCCAGACCTAGTGCAATACCCTGGGGCTTCCTTCCAGCCTGTAACTTGAGTTTTCCTTCCAAAAGACATGAAGGCACATGGGTGCAACTCCGGTGTGAATTAGGCAATGAGGTGCGAGGACATGAGCAGTGAGATAGGTGGATGAGGTACCTACATGATCAATTGTGCACCTGGGCCCAAGCGTTGGGAAATGTTGCTAGATCCCCTAGGTTTGACAATCCTTTACCACTGTTGTTCTTGAGTCCTTCAGTTTGGCTTTAATAGATAGAAGGAGTGAGAATTTCAGATGTGCTCAAGAACCTTAGGAGTGCAAGTCAGGCCTTAGCATTTTCAGTATCCTTTCATCTACAGGATCCTAATAATCTCAGATGCTTTCCCTGACATTCCCTCCCATTTTGCCATCTCTTTCTAATGTCTGGGAGATTAAATTTGCAGTTAAGTCAAGCAGTATAAAACCCTTTCTCTACACTGAGTCCCACTGGACTGTTTCACTAGTTGAGGTACTCATTATTTGTTGCTTCTTTGGGTGCTTAAATTTCTTCTAACACGTTTGTATTTTGATATCCAAGGCTATGTAACTATGGAAAACTGACTGTGTTGAGATACTTCAAGAAAACAGCCTTTACAGAAAATATGAAGCAGTTATCTAGTACTAATCAGATCCCTTGAAAGCATCTCCAGTTTGCATCAGTATCATTATTCATTTTATTTTAAATATAGGACAGTATTTGGGGACTAGTAATAATCCATAAGAGTATTGAGTCAGCTTTAATAGTGTGTATGGGATGGAAAGTTATCATACCACTCAATGCTGTTCACTTAAGTGACATTAGTTCTGTGAGCAACTTTGACCCACGCTGTTTTCAAAATTGCAAGCCATCATTAAAATTAGTATTTTGCCTTTATTGTGAACAGGGTTATGTATGTGGTACAAAGGTATTAATGTAGTTTTTCTGATCTTCAGTCCTAGTTTGTTTACATACGTGTTGTTTTTCCTGACAGATCCTGGAATGAGCAGATGCTGGATGAAGCTTGCAGACTAGTCCTTGAAGAAATTGCTCTTCCAGGCTTAGCCTGTGGTGGGACAGTAAACTATAAAAAAACTCTGATAGTCAGTTTCTTCTATAGATTTTTCCTGGAAGTATTGCAGTCTTTGAAGACAATGGTAAATGAGTTCTCTATGTTTGTTTTTGTGCAAGCAAATGTAGAATTTTTTTGCTATCTGTTGATGGTAGCAATTTGTAGAATGTGCTTTGCTGTACGTCTAGTGTTGTCTTTAGGGTGCAGATCCACAGAAGAGTGTAAGCACCTAACTCGCAGTGAGACTGATAGAGGGTTAGATGCCAATTTAACTTTTAGGTGCCCAAACATCTTTACCTTTGATAGTAAGCTGAAGTGAAAAAAAAAAAAAAAAAAGTGATGTTAATGCAACAGTTTATCAGTACTGATCTCCCAGGCTCAAGGAAAACGGGCATGAGGTCATATACAGCCTCTCTGTTGTTGAAATCGTCAATAGCCAGGATACGAATAAAGACTTTGGAAAGCAACTTTGTGTGTTAAACCAACCATCCTTCTGGTATGAGTTGTTGACTGGGAGGGGAGGACTCTCTAAAGTTCACTGGCCCAATACTTTCTAGCTGTGACTTACTTATTTTTGACCCAAATCTATTCCCCTGAGGAAAAATATCTTTTTTGCCTTTCTCTTGTTTGTTACCTCAAGCTTTTTCCTCTGAATTCCCATTACCAGGAGAGATTCTGGGCCAGTTTTGGTCAAACTGCAGAACAGAGCTCTTCTAACTATCACTGTTTTAGGTTGCTTACTTCAGCGTATTTGCTGAATGCGATCTATTTTTAAAGATTATTTAGTAAACTTCATAACTCTACATTATTTTAAAATTCTTATTTTAGAGTCTTTCTAACTGGTGGAAGACTTGGAGGAATTTTCTACAAGACGAGCTTGTGTTTGGTAATTTTGGTTGTTAGCTTTTTAAGTTGGAATGTGAGTTTTAATAGTAATTCAATGCTTTTTCAGGATCCTTGCCACTATCCTGACATACCTATGAAATATGGGAGTGTCCTACAAGACTTCCAAACCAAAATGCCACAGAGCATCCAAATATACCAGGCAAGTGATGTTATTCTAAGATAGTTTTATGCTTTATAAGACCTTTTGTAAAAAGTCATGGTTCAAGGGAAACCCTTGCTTTGAAGCTCAGATACAAATTTTCCAAAGGATTGAGGGCACCAGGCCTCAATAAAACATTTGAGTGCTTGATGTTATGTGTATCTAAATTATAAAAATATTTTCTGTAGAAAATAGACTTATGGGTATACTGGAAAAGTTCTTCTAAGAAGTTCATAGAAGGTGAATAAGCAGAACAAATCCCATTTTAGCCTACTTAAATTTGCTATATCAGAGTGTGCAACCCAACCAGAAAAATTTTAAAAGTAAATTGAAAAGACCGAAAAGTCCAGATCTGTAGATATCATTATAGTATTCTTATCTTAATTTATACTCTTCCTAGCCCTTAAGAGGACTCTTGGCTCTTACGGTAGATTTAGGAATCAAGATGGAAGTTTGTGATGGATTCCTGTGCAAATTAACAAGAGGGTTGAAGGAGAACTCGGCAGTAGAGGGCAGCAGAGACCAATTCTTGGATTTTCTCTGGCCGATGCTAACCCTTGTGAATAGATCTGAGTGGGAAGCATGTCCTGGAAGGATTTTTAATATTTTGATATCCTCAATAAAGATACAAATAAAAATCTCAAGTTTATGAAAACCTGAATAAAATTCAGATGAAATCAAGGGAAACACCGTTGTTTCAATTTCAAATATTCTTTAAATAACTTTTTGCTATAAACTATTTTAAGTTTAGGTTCTTATCCCCAGCTTCCTTTAGAGTTATCTTCAAAGGAAAGAGACTGGATACTTGTAAATGGGGCTAGCATTAAAGGAACTAGTACTTTGTGACCGTCAACAATTTATCCTCCAGCTACAAGAAAGTGACTGAACAACGGCAATGAACACACTTTGTTATTCAGATCAGCTGGCACTGAGCAACACAAATTATTAAAAATGCAGAAGGGATTAAAAATGCAGCTTTGTCCCTTCAAATTTCTATCTAACATTTTCAAATCTCTATATTATGCCTCGAATTCTTCCTCAGAATGTTACTAAGCTTTTAAAATTAGGAAAAAAAGAATGTGTACCCTGAAAGATAAACACGTGGTCAAACAAGGCAGTTAAAGTCTTCTATTAATGGAAAAGTTGGGATGATTTTAATTGGACAGCCGTTTGAGGAGCTTTTTGAGGTCAAGTGAAAAATGTCTGTTTCTTGGCCTTGGGCTAATAGCAGACAGTGTGCTGGACAGTGCAGGAGTGTTTAGCCAGAACACTTGTGTGCTGGAAGCTATAGGAGAAAAAAGGTTTTGATATCTGAGCAAATAATTAGTTTTAAATATGGAAAAGAAAAAAGTTAATGTGGTCACTGACCCAGAAACCTGAAAAGTGATCTGCAAGTGAGCAACAGTTAACTGATGTGGCAGAATTAGCTGGCAAAACTAAGTTAACTGCAAGGTAGACCTAGCAAAATAAGGTTGGTAAGGCACTAAATTCAAAGATAAGTGCAAGGGAATAAAATTAAGAAGAAAATATGTAAACAGCATCTTTCAAGGAGGAAGATAAATCCTAGGAATCACTGCAAGTAGCTCAAAATATAGCACTGAACACTTAAAATACAGAGCAGAAGCTAGTGAGAATAATTCAGAAAATTATCACAGCCTCGTGACACCAATCAGTAAAGGAGGAGGCTATCCTTCTGAAAAGCAGCGCTGTTTGTGTCACTTTGTGATGTAAATAGTTATGGAAAAAATCCACATAGACAAACTTTTGCTAGGCTGTTGGAAGACTCCCTAGGAGAAGAAATTAAAGAAACCCTCAGAAGAGCAGTCAAGGCCTGCACCCTAATCTGTATTTAATATTGAACCATAAGAGGATACCATGAACAGTTGTTTCTTCATCTGATTTTCTGATTAATATAAGGACAACATGGCTATTCTTCTGTAACTGGGGATTTTGTTTTTTACAGGACACAGAGCCAGGTCAGCCTCCCCAAGATCCCGTAGGACGTCCCATTATGCACCAGTCTGGAATTAAGCATGCCACTGGTGAAGCAGTTTACATTGATGACCTTCCTTCTGTGGACGGGGAGCTCTTTCTGGCTGTTGTTACTAGTTCCAGAGCTCATGCTAAGATTGTGTAAGTGTTCAAAGTGTATCTGAAGGAAGCGTTACTACAAAGTGCTAAGGTCTTTAGAGCAGACTAATGAAGTCGAGGTACATGTACACGGGACAGCACCCCGAAACCTGCATTGGCTCAGGTTCTGGAAGTCACTCTAGTATGGCAATATGGTCACTCTAGTATGGACTGGACTTTGGTATCTCATTCCATATTACTGTGCTAATAAGGCTGAGCTGTTTCTGATCCATGAGCCAGCTTACTTGGAGCTAGCCTAGGTACCTCCACATAGTGCTGCGCTGTGTAAATGGGCACGTAAATTCAGCTTAGCAACATAGCTTTGAAATCTTAACCCTATTATGATGAAAGTTGTTCAGGATGTAGGAAATAATGCTGCAACATTGTAGCAGCAAGGTAGCAGAGACCTTATAGAAGGGGAAGATGATTCTCTTTTGAAAGAAAACCCATTTCACTCGCTCATGGTTTCATACTGACACACACAAATGCGAGGATACATTTATCTTAGCAGTTCAGCACTCAGCCACCAAGATGCACATAACCAAGTGGTCTGCCCAACATTCAAGCACCAAGTCATGTATTCAGGTGGTCTGGTCAGGATTCCTTGTGATGACAGAGAGGACTGTGGATCCTAGCTATGGAGTCCTTGTCATATCCCTTGGCTTATTCTTGGGTTGGTGATAGTATGCTGAGTTTAGATGTGTCTTTTTGTACTCTTTAGGAGCTGAAATCCCCCCATCTCTGTGAGTCAGTAGGATTTATTCACTCTCCTTTGTCTTCTGATCTGGATGGCTTGAGAAGATGCTTATATATGTGTTGGGACTTTGGTGACCTGCTAAACTAGGTGCTGGCAAGATATGCCATTGTTATTGCCCTTCTGCCAATCCTTCTGATGCTTCCACATCCATACATTCCCATTCATTCTCCATTTATACGAATCGTACTGATTCTGTACATGAACACTCCATCTGTAGAATTCTTAGTTGTATTAGTTTGATATCTGTGATGGTGTGAGGTCTTAAAACAAAAAGTTGCAGTTGTAGCATAATAATTGTGCAATGATTTTTTTTTTTTTAATTATTAAATCAGTGTCGTTTAGGGACTCTAATGGGCCAATGACTTCCTTATGTCTAGAGTAAGTGTTTTCTGGAAATGAAGCAGATTAGTATGATTTTTTTATTTTTTAATTCCCTTTGATCTAGACTTCTTGATGTGCCAGGGGAGAGGGAAAAGACATGCCTGAACTTATGTGCAGATTCTGGCCATACAAGAAGCGTACATGTTTTGGGTTTCCTCCCTATGTGCAACACTTCTTAACACTAATGAATTACACTTCTTTTCTCCCATATCCCAATCAGGTCTATAGATACATCAGAGGCCCTGAAAGGACCAGGTGTGTTTGATATCATAACAGCTCACGATGTCCCAGCAACAAATGAGTTTTACTATTCCAATGATCCGGAGATTGTATTTGCAAAAAACAAGGTATAACTGTTTTTTTTCCAGCCTTTTATGGTGAAATTTGACCGACTGACACTTGAATTTTTGTATTGTGTGTTTGTCAGGGAATCACTTCAGCCATATAACAAGATAGACTCTTGGAATTTTTCACACTCCCTTTTCAACTTCAAAATAGCTGATGTGCACTATATTCTGCCTAGAAAAATATATCAAACAGAGGAATACAGATGAAATGTAAATCTCACAAAACCATCTGAGTTGTTGGAAGAGCAAATTTCACTGAAAGTTAGGGGAACTTAGGCTCTCAGGTCACTTAAGGATTTTTTGAATACCTTATTTTCCTTTGTTCCCTCGTTATACTGGTCTTTCTAAAAATTTGTTAGCTTCAGAGATATTCTAAAGCAAATTCGAAGACCTGAGTCAAAGCAAAATTGAAAAAAGGAAATGTGGATAGTGTTTATATGAAAGAATAATTTTAGCAGGACATATGGGAATCACTTGAATCCACTGTTTTATTAAGCGATGCGTATTTTACAGGTCATTTGCGTTGGTCAGATTGTCTGTGCTGTGGCTGCAGATTCAGATGTTCATGCCAAACAGGCAGCTGCAAAAGTGAAGATAGTGTATGAAGTGTTGGAGCCAGTGATCTTGACGATTGAGGTACTAATCACTTTTTTTTCCTCTTGCCTTTTTTTTAAAATTCTTTTATGTATTTAGGCAAAGAAAGTTCACTGTTCGCTTGCTGTTTTTAACATAATTTTCTGAGGAAACAAGGTGAACATGAGCATCCAATTCATCAGCTTGTTATTCTCCCCCAAAATAACTTTTGAATCTGTGGGCCAATTTTGACCACTTGTGATAGATAGGCAACAGTGTCAAAAGTATTAAGATCCTGTAAGTTTCATAATAATGCAGAGTAGAGAAAAAAACCTCTTTTAATCTGTGCAGTGAGGAAAGGGCAGTGAGCACTCTGGCTGTTTCTAATTTTTTTTTGGTACCAACCCACTGATCAATCAGCATATGTGTATTGGCTAAGCAATCACCTCCTGATTGTCCGTAGCATTTTCTATCTTTTTTTCAGCTAGCAAGCCAACAAAGTTGGGCTGGAAATACAGTAAGTGTTAGAAGTATGTGGGGAGAAAGATGCTAGGGATGTGGAGCATTTTGGAAATGTGATGTGGGATTCATAGGGGAAATGGAGCTACGATGCGTTGTTGCGATAGGTGGAAGTAAGGAGAAAAGGACATATTTGCAGGATTATTATGTGCTCTCTTGATCACTTGTTAGATGTATGGGAGGAAAAAGTCGAGTAAATAAATTGAATGAGCTCCCTTGATAAAACTGCTACCATCAATAACACAAGATAAATCAGGAAAGCACTGCTGGGACAATGGATAAACTCATCAGCAATAGCAGTAAAATGATGAAATAGAGTTGTTCACTAACTCTGGTAGCTGGTGATTCAAAAGTCTGAAGAGGATGGTGTTCTTCCTTAGAATGAAATGCCGCTACAAACCAAGAACTTTAAAAATACTCAAACTGTTTGTCTTTTTCTCTACTGCAGGAAGCAATAAAACACAACTCGTTCTTTGAGCCAAAAAGAAAACTAGAACAAGGAAATGTTGATCAGGCATTTGAAACTGTTGATAAAATACTTGAAGGTAAATTGTAGAATATGTTTGGTGAGAAGAAGTTGTCAATATTTGGACTTATCTGTTCCTCTTCAAGTGCCAATTCTGCCTTTTTTTCCAGTAATGTGACGTAAGGCCTTTAGGCCTAAAAAAGCTCTTGGTCCTCTGGAAGAAAGTGTGATTAAATCTAGTGGTCTTGGGGTCCTGATACAGTCAAGCCTTCTGCCTTCTCTGTCTTTGCTACAGAATCTTAGAATCACAGAATAATTTAGGTTGGAAGCAGATCGTCTAGTATATCCTCCTGCTCAAAGCAGGTCCGGTTAGAGCAGGTTGTTAGACCCATGTGCAGTTGAGTTTTGAGTATCTCCAAGAGTGGAGATTGCACAACCTCTGTGGTCCCCTATTCCAGTGTTTGATCACCCTCATGGTTACAATTTTTTTCTTATATCAAGTTGGAATTTCTTATATTTGAACTTGTTCATTGCCTCTCAGGCTTCCACTGTGCACCTCTGAGAACAATCTGGCTCCGTCTTCTCTGTACCCTCCCATTAGTCAGTTGTAGACAGCAATAAGATCTCCCCTTATCCCTCTCTTCTTTTGGCTGAACAAATGCAGTTCTGTCAGCCTCTCTTCATGCATCCTGTGCTCCAGACCCCTGACCATCTCGGTAGCCCTCTGCTGGACCTGTCTAGTGTGTCCTTGTTTTGAACATGCTCCAAAATGCATATGGATGTGTATATCTATGCTCTATTTAAAATTCTCAACATCTGTAGGCAATTTTATTCTGCTTTTAATCAAATTCTGTTGTTTTCACTGGAACCAGGCCAATTGAAGTCTGCAAAGAGTCTGATCTGTGTTTTATTTTAGATGTTGCTCTTTCATAAATGATGCATCAGGAGATGCCATAATTTTAATAATATGACTGCCATAATTTTCGTGATGATGGACAATTGGTTCTTTCTGGGTTCACATCTTCCTTCCCCCCACCCAGTAGCACTTATATTTTTCTCTTTGGATCAGGGGAGATTCACATTGGGGGACAGGAGCATTTTTACCTGGAGACTCAGAGTGTGCTTGCTGTTCCAAAAGGAGAGGATAAAGAAATGGATGTGTATGTGTCAACACAGCATCCAGCAATTATCCAGGTAATATAGAGCATTCTTGGAGAACCTATGTCAATAGAGCTCTTTATGTATGGTTTACGAATCCACCTTAACAGTTTAGGAGCAGCAGGAACGTCTGGATTATCCAACAACAGCTGCTTTGTAGCACTGCTGTATCCTGACGTACACTGTGAGGATAAGGAGGAGGTAAAAGTCTCTTATTTCCCTTTGAACAAAGTGCCTCATGCCGCACGAATGTAGACATGAAAAACTCCCTATGGAGTGCTGAGGATCCTCCATCCCCAGTAGCTTCCATAGAGGTGGGGAGCAATCAGCACCCTGCACAGTCAGTCTGCTGAGGGAGTGATCAACTCCGATAGCTGTAAGAAGGACCTCTGCTCTATGCCAAAGCTATAAAGCAAGAACTGACAAACTCTGACATAGCCTGCAGTCTGTGTAGCAATAGCTATGGTGCAAAAAAGTGGCAGCATTTCAGAGCACGCACTACCGTTTTGTGTTCAAAGCCCGTTGTTCAGCTGCTTTTGTCATTTCCATTACTTTTATGTCACCAATAGCCAAGAAGCATGAGGAACTTTAAGTGTCTGAGAAAATGATGAATACTACAGATTTGAAACAAGAACATTCCTGACACTTGTAAGACCTCAGATTATTAAGAAACAAATGATTTTAATTTCGTTTGAAAAATAATTAAAAGTAAATTCATGATTTTATTAACTAATAGAAATAACAAAAAGTATGCTTTGATACCTTTTACTTTTATCTGGTGCCTCACAGTTTGGATAATGAAATCTAAAGGTGTTTATTCTTCACTTTTGTCTGTGGCCCTTTCACGTTCTCCACGGTAGAGATTTTGAAAGCAAACACTGCTGAGTGTTTGTGGTTATCTTTTGTTTTCTTTTTAACTTAGGTAAGGGAAAAATTCTTTTAAGCTGAAAATCCTGCAGACATCTATGGAACCCTTTTCTGGAAAAGCTTCTTATTGCAAAACTTAAATGTTATGCTTAGTTTGAGCTGAGAAAGGGTCCTGGTACTGATATAAAAGATGAAAACTGGTTTTACAGGAGATGGTAGCTGCAAGTTTAGGTGTCCCAGCCAACAGGATCATGTGTCACGTTAAACGAGTTGGTGGAGCTTTTGGTGGGAAACTCCTGAAAGCTGGTTTACTGGCATCAGTTGCTGCAGTGGCAGCAAACAAGTAAGTGTGGTGTGCGTATATTGGGATGTGAGGAGAAAATTGGGTGAACAAGTTTTGAAAAAGTGACTAAAATGCTTTCTCCTTTCCCCAAGCTGCTGTCCAAAGAGTCATAAAATCTTGATTGTTCACATTTTGTGAACTGTTCAGTAGGGTTTTTTTTGTTCATTTTGATTTGTTTTGTTAGACTGTTTTAAGGTGCTCTAGACTCATCTAAGTTGATGGAACTTGAAGAAAACAAGATCAGTGTAAGCTAGAAATATTCTTGAAATGGCTGACCGTTATAAAGGGACTAGCCCCTAAAACTGAGGTTTTGTATGTATATTCAAAATACCACTTTAATAGTCCAGTGCTATCTTCTTCAAGATTCTGCTGTGCCAGTGGAGCAGATTATGAGTGGAGCTGCTTTTAGAAGCAGGTCTTTTAGTCCTCAACCTTTTTCAGTCAAAATTAGCTTAAATCTGTTTGGTAGTATGTCTTTGCTAATTCTAATTGAACTAGTGCGGGAATCAACACATGCATCTCCACCCCCCAGATCTGACAAGACAATATCCTCTGACTGCAATCAGCAGTTACCTGTCAGGGGAATGTAGCCTCTCGTATATGCGTAGCTGATTTATTGTAGAATGGACATCATGCTACATCCTATCTTAGCCAAAGTGATCTTATAATCAGGGAGGTTAGCTCAATGCATGTCCCTTTTAATAATGTCACTGTTGTAGACACTGCTCTTGATTATTTTTGGCCATGCAGTATGTATTTTGGATTAACCAAGCCATGCTAAAATCAGCTGTTTTCTTTATAGTATGACTTAATTTTACATCTTATGTTCACTTTTTCAAAAATAAATATTTTAAACCATGTATGCATGCATAGACTAATTTGCTTATTTTTATTATTATCCATGTTTTTGCTTTATTCCAAGGCACTCTATTTCCATATGACTCTGAATAGCTAAGAGGTAACTATTTCTCGCTTAAGGTTGAATTCTAAGAGCTCTTAGGTCACTTAATAGAGTTCAGTCTTAAAACTGTAACGACATTTTCTTCTGAAGAAATTTGCACTGGGTTTTCTAGCTGTCTTTCAAGAGGTGAAATGAAAATTGACGTGATTTTAAATGCAAAAACCCATGAACTATATAGCTTTAAGCATATATTTAAGCCTTTTAAAATTAAATTTAATCTAAGTATATATTTATATGCGTTGCTAGATCTGGATTCATGAGGAATAGCTATCCTATTAATAATATCTCTAATTTTGTCTGAAATTGTCACTTTTCTGTTGTTGATTTAGAACGAGCAGAGCAGTCCGTCTTATTCTGAGTCGGGGGGATGATATGTTAATCACTGGAGGCCGACATCCTTTTATCGGTAAATACAAAGTGAGTGCCGCAAGAATTCCGTGCAAAAATACCTGCTCATATTCTGTGAATGAGATCTCAGTGTCACTGTTTAATGCTTACTATGTAATGAAAATAATTATAATCAATTCAATTTTAAAATAAAACTGTTAGCCAGGAAACCAAGAGATAAAATTGCTGTACCAACCTTTCTCTGTGCCCGCCTCTATCTCTGCCTCTATCTCCCCCCTGCCCATGCCATGCAAGTCCTTTTCCTTTTACAGCTCTTCCCTTCTTACTCTCTGGGAACTGGAAGCCAAACCTTGTTACTAGCTCAGATATCTTCTATGCAGATTTATTTTAAATCCTCCGTATGTTCAGGTTCAAGCAAAGGAGCAGCTAGCTTTTTGTGGAAACAGGAAAACTCATGCTATAGAGGAAACTAATCTCTTTGCTGCTCATGCACTGTCGTAAGTTGTAACAATTCATTAGGGCAAGTTCTGTCTTCCTTTCCAAAGCCTACTACATAGGTAAAGAAAGAGGGCTTGCACAAGGTGCCTGTCTAGAGTTGAAAATAAACTGTAGCTCCTGATGAGTATTCAGGGATTATCATTAGTGGCAACAGGTGAAAAGAGAGATGTGAGAAAAAGATACCATTTCTTCATTTAAATAAAGCAAATGTTATACTCCATCTGCCAGTTAGCTTTCTTAACGGTCAGAGTAGGACTTGGCTTTGTCTGCAGTGAACATTCCTAGATGACCCAAAGCACTTCTCAGCCATCTGTTGGGCGATGCACACGGACATGGTGCTTCCCTGCTTCTTACTCTCCCATCGGGCTAATGTTGCTTGTTGTGTGCTGCGCCTATACAGATCACAGATGACTGTTGGGAAAGCCTGTAGCCTTTTGCTCTCTTCTCTTTCCCTGGTTTCACTGAATAGTGCTGGGAAGTGAATAGCACAGTATAGCACTAATTGTGTGGCTCACATTCATTTGCAAAATGTCCAAGCACTGAAGGGTGAATGAATGACAAAATCTAAGAAGGCTATGTTGATCTACTCTAGGTTGGCTTCATGAATGATGGTAGGATCATAGCTGTGGATGCCAAATACTACATTAATGGAGGATGCACCCCTGATGAATCTGTCCTGGTAAGGATTTTATAAGCTGACAAATCTTATAACGTGAAGGAAACATTAAATGGGAAATGATGAAGGCCAACTTGCCTTGCATAGATACTGTTACTCATATAGCCTTCTGCTGTAGGGACTCTGGGCATGTCAGAAAATCTACATCTGGAGGTTTGGTTTTCTGTATTTGGTTCAGTGAAGTACTATACAGCTTTTTGGCATTTCTGTGCATGTTAACTTTATGAACAGTTTCTCAAGCTTATTCTCCCATTATAAACATATCAGCTAACAGTGTATTCTTTTAAAATATGTAGTACTTTCACATATGCCTGCCTTTGTATCTGCAAAGCTGGGAAGACCTCCCTTAGCCTTTCGAAAATAATCACAATGTTAATTGTCTTATGTTATTAGCTCCATGCATTTATGTACTTGGGTCTGCATTTATTGAACCCTGTACCTCACTTCCTCACTTATCTACCTTGCAGGCCTATGTTGCTTGCTTTAATATCAGTCACAAGCTATCTGTGTTTGCGTGGGCTATTTTGGCTGCAGCTGAAACAGATGTAGAGGTTACGGTCCCCCATCTGCTTGTCACTGCCTTGCCTACGGGTATTTTCTGAAATCTAACGTAACCTAACCAGCCTAACCTAGTACTGAAAAAAATGACCTGAGTTAGCAAAAAATCCACGATTAAAAACATATAAATCCATACGGGTCACGTTGTGTCAGACCAGCTTAAGATGAAATTCTGCAATGATACAGTTAAGCTGGCAGACCTAGGAGTGGAGGGAGTATAACCTTTCAGAGCACTGATGAACAACTGAGTAACATTTTTGTCCAACTCAGCTGCAGGCAGAATAGCACCTGACTCTCCAACATCATTCCCCAATTAATTCATTCAATAACCAGTGATCTAGTTGTATGATTCCTTTCCATTGTATTAGCATAGTATTAATAATTCAGTGCATCTAAAAGGAGAAAGAGACTTATTGGAAATGAAAGCATTACCAAGTTTGCAATCCAGTTTTCTTTCTAAGTTATCACTGTGTTCCCAAGATAGTATTTTGGGATTTATTTTTTAGAGAAGAGCTTATTTTGCGTAGAAGGAACACACGTTTTCTGGAAGCCAATCGAAAGGGATAGGAACAAATCTGAACTGGAGTTTCCCTTTGCTGATCATATGGCAGTCTTGCCCCAGACAGAGGCAAGATGATTAATGCTCATCATAATAAAGACTGGTCTTTGAGCATTGTTGAATACTGGTAATCTGTGATTAACTTAATCATTATTCAGTCAACAATTAATTATATGTTTTAACTGTCCGTGATTGCATCAAGAGTAGGACAGATTTTTGGGAGGAAAGCCTAGACTAGTTTAGAATTGTAGCATGATACACTGTATTTGCTATGATTTATCAAAGCTCTCTTATATAGTATGATCATCCTCATACACACATTTTCTCTGAAGTCAATAAAAGTTGTAGTCATAACAAAAAAAAAAGTTATGCTTTTATTCCACAAACATTTCAGTTCACTTTTTCAACATAAAGAGGTAGCATTATATTACATTATTCATATGCACAGTTTTTACAACAAAACTCTCCTCAGTTGTTTTTGTGAAGAAATGTTTTGAAGTTCATTGTTCCAAACTCAGTAGAAACGCTAGGAGTGCAGGGTTAAGTTTGCCATTTTGAGAAAACTATCTGACACTGAAGAGAACTAGTGATCTATTCATGAGGCATCAAGACATTTTAAAACTTTATTATTGATTTATTTATTTTGAGGTATCTAATAAGGATTTTCTTTTTCTTGTATTTTTGTGTTTATCATGTGAAATTTCTAAACAAATAAACATAAGAACCAGAAGACACTGTAGACTGGAATTGTTATGCTTTCTGTCAGAACTAAAACTTTACTGTGAATTTCTCTAGGATATGATAATTTAGAATGTTTTCACAGCTTTTCACAATTTATTTCATAATTCTTGTTGCTTTATATCTAACCTGCCTATTTTTAGTTTCGTATGACTTTTGATTTTGAAGTAGGAGCAAAATCAATCTTAAAATGAAATTCCAATTACATCCTTAACTTCTGACCAGCTACTAGCACTCAGTTGCTAGTAGCACCAACTGTGTTCTGTGAATATCCAAAGAAAAGAACTGAAATGTAGTATCATGCTTCTTGAGAAATTTGTGAATAGAGTCTGCAGGTATGGATAAAAGTATTATTGCCAGCGATTTACCGAAACATGATTTTAAAGCTAATTGTGTCAAGTTAAGGCCTTTCTATGGTAAGAGGAAGATCTAACTGTGAATGTGAAAGAAGCACTTTCTGACGTTTAACTACACCTATTTGCCCCCTATTACAGGTAGCAGAAGTATCCTTATTAAAAATGGACAATGCGTACAGGATTCCCAACTTGAGATGCTGGGGTTATGCCTGCAAAACTAACTTGCCCTCAAACACAGCGTTCAGAGGGTTCGGTTTCCCCCAGTCAGCGCTGGTGACAGAAACTTGGATAACAGGAATTGCAGATGAAACTGGTTTATCACCAGAAAAGGTGAAGAACTGAAGACATCTTCTCTCCTGAAATGAAGCCTATGCAGTTGGAAAATTAAAATTCCTTGGATTAGCTCAACTGTTTGAACAAATCTTCTCTAAATCAAACATAATTTGTGTTAAAATTCATAAATATTTTGTTATCAGTGTCTGATTGTTGAATGAATAGCATGCTCTTGCAAACTGAACCAAATGGATAATTGTTCAAAAAATACACAGTTATCTTTTTGTTTTCTACTAGTCCCCCTAAATGGTCAGTCAGATTTTAGAAGGATTATGCGATTTCTGTTAATGTTCTTATTTCAGATTAGGGAAATAAACATGTACAGGGAGAATGAGCAGACACACTTCAAACAACAGCTTGATCCGGAAAACTTAATACGGTGTTGGAATGAATGTATGGAGAAGTCTGCATACTACAGTAGGAAAACAGCCATCAAAGAATTTAACAAACAAAATTACTGGAAGAAGAAAGGGATTGCCATTGTTCCAATGAAGTTTCCATTTGGCCTCGGCACACGTTATCTTTCTCAGGTTAGTTTCTTTAAATAAGTGAGTTAAATTTTTCATTGTTAGAAGACTACAGTTGCTTTAGCTTAAAATACAAAGCAAAAGTTTTATCTTTCAACTTCTGGAAAATTATCCTCCTCATAGTAGTTGTTCCCCAGAGGCTACATTGGTTTCCAGCTCTCTTCAAGCTGAGATCAAAGTTGTTTGGTCTTCAGAACGTAGGCAGCTTGGACTCTGACTACTTAAAGGCCATTCCCATCTCTTGTGATGTGTTATAGAACAGTTGAAGGACTTTCATGAAGAGTATTTGAGGACTGATGGCAAAGTGTTCATTGGATAAGTTGTCCATTCTAGAAATGGCTCCAAGGTTGCTTTTACTGGACATGGGGTAGTATAGAAGTCAGTTCTTATAGATGTAACACTTTCATGTCCTCGAAGAATAAGTTTAGGGAAGAAAAGGAGGACAGGGGTGTTATTGCTCTGTGTGTTTTTTAATGTAGGTGTTCAGTACATTTGAAATAGACAGCATTTTATCAATTGAAAATTAATTCTTTGACTAGCTTATATCGTATCCAGCTGGCTGTCTCTGCTCAAGACTAAACTCATAGGGCCCCTGGTAATCTAGAGTGCTACTTCCAGCTGAGTCCAGGAGGAAAATCCCGATCAGAATCTTCTTACTGTGTCTAGCATTGATAGCCTGCACAACAACCTGTGTCCAAAGGCTCACAAACTTCGACAAGAGAGAAATCGGAAACTGCAGCAATTTGCATATACAGTTACTAATCAGGGAGGTCCTCCAGCCTCTTTTGGAACCACTGAGGTTCAGTTGCCAGGGCTAGTTTTGTAGGATCTAGGAACAAAAAAAGCAGATGTCCAAAGATTTGCATCCTTTTCTTTTGAAGCTCGTTGAAGAGGAAGAACAGAGACTAGCATTCAAAATGTTGCATTCTATTCAAACGCATTGAACAGAAGAACTGAAATATACTTCAAAACTCTGTGCTTTCACTTTTGATCCATCATCTCATTACCTTATACAACACATTTCTCACTAATCTTTTTTATTTTTTTTTAGGCTGCTGCTCTGGTTCATATTTATACTGATGGGTCCGTGCTTCTGACGCATGGTGGAATTGAAATGGGACAGGGTATTCATACAAAAATGATCCAGGTACCAGAGAGCAAATATTACCTTGTGCTTTATCTGTCGTGCAGATAAACAATGGGAAGGTTTTCTTCTTGGTTACTGTAGCAGCTGAAGCAAGACACGTAGGACAATTTCTTTTAACCAGCATAGCTGCTGGTTCTTTGCATCTATAGAGTTAGGAAGCGAAGGTGACTTCGTTAAGAGTCACAGGGACAACAGGAAGGGAAAATAGATTGTTTACTTTTTATTATTATAGGGTGCATGGAAACGCTGTATGGAAATAAGGTCTTTTGGGGCTGGCCCCACATAACTCATGAAAAAGAGAGTCGATGTCCAGATTAGTATGCAGTCTGAAGAGGTGAGATTATTATCTTTGTTTAAGGGATAACTGAGACACAGGTCTATAAAGACATTTACCAAGTCAATAAACCATTTGCATCTGGGCCTGCATATTTTGCCTCAAGTCTTAGAAGAAGTCAGCAGCAAAATTAGGAACTTAATCTAGGTCTCCAGAGCGTCAATCCAGAATTTGAGTCCGAGTGAAATACTGTCCTCCTTTTCTGCCTCTGTACTGACAGACTCAGCAGAATGACTACAGCTGGAGGTTGGACGAGAACTTGGAGAAACATTATCTTTCTTAGTACCACTGGCTTTTAACAACAATAGGGAAATTGTTGGAATGTTTAGAATGTTCCTGAAACACACAAGGATATGTTCTTCTTCCTGAAACAGGTTGCTAGTCGGGAGCTGAATATCCCCATGTCACGTATTCACTTTTGTGAAACAAGCACAACAACTGTTCCTAATGCATGTGCCTCGGTGGGATCTGCTGGAACAGATGTCAATGGAATGGCTGTGAAGGTAAAGAGCAGTATGTAGTTTAACACGACTCATTATTGCTCATGGTAGTTAGTGCCTGCCAAAATTTAAGTGTTAGTGATCCCATGGAAAACAAGTTTAAGGTTAACAGTAACACCACTGGAGATTGCCAAGAAGAAACATCATTTGTTGACAATTTCTCAGTAATGGTACTTATGAGTCTTCGGGATATAATCCAAACTTTCCCCCAAAGGCTTAGATGTTTGACTACATTCTTGTTTCATCTAACAGAAACAACTAACTAGTCCTACACTAATTCCATATCTTGTCCATGTATTAAATTTACTAATTCATACTGATTCCAGTCCTTATGACTTAAGTCCTTATAAGGTTTGTGTTTGTGTAGTTAAAATAACACCTTCTACCGTGCTTTTCCAAATCAAGACCACAGTAAGACACATATTTAATAAGTACCAACTAGAACATATTGAATAAGTACTAAATAGTACCAAACGTATCTTTGTTAGTTTTGTGTTATTTTCTCCCAACTTCTCTCCTGAACAGGATGCTTGCCAAACTCTTCTGAAGCGCCTACAGCCTATCATCAACAAGAACCCAAAAGGCACCTGGAATGACTGGGTAAGAGATGTGAATCATATTGAATATGTTTGTGTGCTTACAGCGATTGTGATGTGTGTATTGTAGTCTGGTCTCCTCAGCCTAATAAAGCTAAAAGCTGCAGAAATAGGTTGATTCAGCATGTAGGTCCTTGATTTAAGCCTGTGGCAAACAATACCTGGGTCATACATAGAGGAAAAGGTGAGGAAGTGACTCACAGTCAGAGTTGCTGAAGTTTTTAATATATAGAAAATAACTTGTGTAATAATGTGACTCACTCCAGTTTACCTGCAGAGAAGCTGTTACGAAATGATTGCCAGGGTATATCTATACAGGAGTCAGTTTTCCTACATGGCTGTTCTTTACTTTTTACCAGATCAATAAACAAAAGCCTCCTTAACCTTTTCCTTCTATCTGTCTTTATATTCATTTTATTACAGAACTGCAAAAAAGGTAGCAGGAATCCTTGCTCCCATTGTTCTGATCTGTAGTTAGTTACATAATAATCCCCGTTGGAATAGGATAATACACAAGTAGAGGTAAAAGTGTTCATAGAAATAGACCCTGTCAAGTGCCTACTTGAAAATGGAATAGAGTTTCAGGGCTAGGAACTGAATGTTCATAACGAAAAGCTTTCTGCATATATCTGCTATTTTTAGTAGCATATTTTATTAAGGTATGGCTGAGAATCCAGCCCTACATGTTCAGATGTTAAAGATGAGCTTGTTCCTTATTTCCGTTTAGCCAGTACTGCTTCATAATTTACAGCCTAATGAAAACGATAGTCCCTGCCCTGAGGCATTTACAGTACGCCAGGGTGGTGGTTCTCACAAGATTAAATACCATAACAACTCTGAAAATCTAAATTAAATGTAGAAGTATTTATTCTTATCAATAGCAATTAACATTGGAGTACCTGTGGCATCTTGATAACTGACAGCTAGGAATGCAAAGGTAAAATACGGTTCTACTCTAATGGGTAACAAATTAATTTGGATAATTCAGACACGCTCAAAATATTAGCAGAAATGGCTGACCTGTTAATCCACTTAGAGAGGTAATTTTACATCAGGTAAAGTCAACAAATTACAACTAACTAAAATTATAATTTAAAAAAACTTTCTGATTTGTAAACCAAGCAAATCGGACATTAGAGTCACTGAGAATACTTAGATTTAGGGCCTCATACTGGCATTTGTAAGCTACTGGCATAAGAATACTGCAGAGAGCATTTATCTTGTCAGCTGTGATTTTTCTGCACATAAGGTCATGCAGATCTTCTGTGACTTATCAAGCCGGAGCTGTTAGAGATGCCCATTTCTGTTGAACTGAACAGGAAAATCAAGCAGGGCCTTTTCTGACTCCAGTGCTACCGGCAATAAAGATTCTGCAAGAACAACATTGTTGACAGGTCTATTCCTTACTGCATTATCAAAAAGAATTCAGATTACTCCTCTAAAGGTGGCTTAGTTCTGCAGTATTAGGCACTGTGTGCAGCTAAACATCATTAACTCAACTGGTCTTCATTTCTTAGTTTGTTATAGTTTGTTTTTTAAGTAAACACATCTGCTGTGGACCTTCCTAAATCATTGACGTATCACGAACACTGCTGTATTTTACAGATTAAAGAAGCTTTTAAACAGAGTGTGAGTCTTTCAGCTACTGGCTACTTTAGGTAATGTGTTTTTGTCCCTTAAACATGCATGGATTAGAAAGGATAAGTACCAGAACTGATTTCTGAAGATAACCAGTGCAGTGAATAGGAGATCCTGTCCAATATGTATATGGGTTTTTTTAATGGTTCAGCTTATATTTTATGTAATTCCTTGATATTTGGGAGTTTGTAGTATAAAGTTAAAGCACTAATTCATGGCTGGCCTTGCGTGGACCCTCTAGAAGGGACCAAGAGAGTATTTCCTCTCATCCCTGCCCCATGATTCTGCCATGGGCAAACTGGAAAGCATCGAGAAAGTGACTGCTGCCAATGGCAGTAGGTGTGTCAGGTAGGATATAGTTTATTTCCTAGAAGCTATGTTGCTATAAACTGTAAGTATTGCTGTACTATAAATTATTTACTTTTTTTTTTTGATCACACTGAGCTCCACAATAGGTAAAAAAGAGTGGCAGCATTAGAACCTTGTCCAGCACACACCTGTATATGGCAGCCAGGTGCACCTGTGGAAAAGTAGGTCTATTTGAATCCAGATTTGAACCTTGTGGTAATAAGGTTACCATTTTCCTTTAGAAGAAGGAGAATTTAAAATATCTGGCTGAGTTCAAGAGAAAGCTCATGGTAATGTTTTTTAAAAACGCAGGAATCAGATGCCATTCTTCAGCACTAATTAGAAGATAGTGGGGGACTTAAGTGTTCACATGAGGAGTGGATTTCAAGAAAGATGAGGGGGGCTGCTGACTGGTGCTAGTTTTATAGTCATTGTTTTGACCTCTCTGCCTCTGGAGCCTCGGAAAATTCCCACTGTATATACTTTTTGGGGTGGTTTATTCATAACAGCAAGTTATTCTAGGACACGGTCACCTTAATGTTTAAAGACAATCCCCACAAGATAGCTCTGCTCTTTCTCAGTGCAGTCTCACAGTCCTTTTTCCCTGAAGTTTGTCGTTCCAGAATATTTCTGCAATTTTTCTGGTTATCAGAAGTGGAATAGCAAATTTGTCTACTAAATTCTGTATAAATACCAGCTCCATTAAACACAAATTACCAATTTTCTGTAGGCTTTTGTGGAACTTACCTGCTGGGGTTCTGACCTGTTATTTTAGATTCCACTTGAAGTAGTTTCAAACTTTAATTTGCTCATCTACTTTATGATGATAATGCAAATATTCATTCTTGTTGCCATTTTTTCTTCCACCAGAGGTTACAATGAAAACATGGATTGGGACAAAGGGGAAGGACAGCCATTCACGTATTTTCTTTATGGAGCTGCTTGTTCAGAGGTTGAAATTAACTGTTTAACAGGAGATCACAAGGTAAAAAATGAGTGTCACGTAAGTTTTGGAAATAATGTAATGAGGTTCCACTAGACTTGCTTGCGTTACTAGATGCTCCAACAACCATTCAGGTTCTGCATTAATAAGTCACCTATGTTCACATGATAGTAAAAATAGCAGTGTAAATGAAAACTGTAGGTCAAGCAGAATGAAAGCTGTGCACCATTAACCAGCTTCTGGCAGTTCTGTGTTAATGTCACATTGGTTCACCTTTCAGGTTATGGCAGATGCATGACACATTCTCTGCTTGTTCTCTCCGTGTTTGCCAGCAGATAAATTACAGTAGAGCTCCATATTTATTTCCAGGCTTTTGACCATCTAGATGGCTAGATGCCATAATCCTCTGATCCTGCATGTACCGTCTGCTGGACATAGCACTTATTTCTGTGGGAATTTTCTTATGCAGTGGGAAAAATCTGGCAGGGCTGGCTCTGGCTAAAATTCTATTGGAGTTGAGGCAAGCCCATTTTACTTATAATGGGCTGTTGGAGATTACCTTGAAATGGTGTACCTGGGGGGCCTCTCTTTAGCATATGTTATCCCACTGAATACCAACTGTAACCCACAGTGTGTTCTAATGCCTCTACCCTACGCATCTCTTTCAGTAATATACCTTTGAATTTTATTAACAGAACCTCAGAACAGACATTGTTATGGACATCGGACGCAGCATAAATCCAGCCGTGGATATAGGACAGGTATGTGCCAAGAATTTTCTGCTGTCTTATTTCTGTTAGACTGATGAGTCTTTTATCTGAAGTGAAGAGTACCTTATTAATTCAGAGGATATTAATTTCTTACTAGATAAAGTTATAGGTCATAGATGATTATTACAAAGTCCTCTACTTGTAGTATTGCCCCGTTTGAGTCAATTTCAAAGCTCCTGTAGATGTCAATGAAGCTTGAAATATACCTCTGATCTCTCTTGTCAATCTTTAGTACTTTCTAAACTTTCTCTATATAGTAGTATGCCCACTATCTGCTAGACCTAAATCCTATTTTTGATCTACAGACTCCAAATTCTCCTGTTACATGATCTACCTTCCCACCTGATAGGAAGAAAACAGGTTTTTTTCACTGCAGGTTGGTCCACAGATCTCATCACTTGAGCAGGAATCCACTTTTCTCTGCCTGGTGCGAGAGAGGAGTGTGAAACCTTTTCCCATCACGGCAGCCCCAAAATGTTCAGGAATTCCAGTAGTCAAACGTGAAAGAAAATGGTCTTCTAATAGCTGGTGATATGAATCAGTTCTTGCCAAAGTTTTACCCATTTTCCCGAATATGAGAAGGTAAATGTTATTTCCTCTCTTATTTAAAGATTGAAGGTGCCTTTGTTCAAGGTATTGGACTTTACACAATGGAGGAATTAAAGTACTCTCCAGAAGGAGTCCTCTATACGCGGGGTCCAGATCAGTATAAAATCCCTGCTGTTTGCGATATTCCAGAACAGTTCAGTGTTTCCCTGCTGTCATCTTCCCAAAATCCTTACGCCATCTATGCATCCAAGGTAAGCAAACCATCACGGGGCCTGGTTTTTTAATCTCGGGATTGTCAAAGAAATTACGTTGATATAAAACACACATAAGCTTCCAGTTCCTCCTCGTTAGTATTTCTTCAACCAGGTATCCACACATTTGTTTATGACATTAGGGAAGCTGCTGTGAAAAGATATAATGTGGGATATTGCTGCATTATCTTTCATGGCTGGCAAGTGGTAATGTTAGGGCTTTAATAACAGACCATAAAAAGTGTCCAAAGGTGCAAGCTGAATTTAAAGCTATACTTTTAAAATATATGGTAACATACTGGAGGGTTAGAATAAAAACAACCAAGAAATTACTAAAGAAATCTTAGTAAGAGTGAGAGTGAGCAGCTTAACTATATTTATTATGCAGGTGTATTTACCTGAGAGATTGGGTCAAATATTCAGCTGTTATAATCACTGTTTCAGTTTACATCTGCAAATATTCTGGCCAGTTGCGTATAAGCAGTAATGGTAAATCAAGATGAAGGTAATTGTGCAAATTTGTAGCTGTTTCAGGTATTAGGCATGCTTTTAGAATACAGTAAAATAAAGCAGCACTATAGGAGGAAAAAAGATATTTTAAGGAGAAATTTATTTAAGAACAAATAGGTCCTTTAAAATTATTTTAAGCTGTCCCGATAATAATAATAAAGTTATTAAAAAAAAAAAAAATCTCATCTAGGTGAAGTAGTTCTATAGTTGATCTAGAGAGCTGATACTAATATCCCTCAAACAGAACTTTTATCCTTCTCTGTGAACATAACTCCTTTAGTTACCCTTAAAATACACCACAGTAAGGTGTGATTCTGTCTTTAGGCAGCGTGTTTCAGGAAGACATTTGGTTCGCAGATTTCAGCAAGCAGAAAAGTAAGATTCAATTGCAATATGCAGATCCAATCCAGATTAAAATGTTCAATACCTCAGCATTGAGAGAACTATGGTAGAAGGGTAGATTTGTGTTTGAGATAAGGACCAAGTGTAAATCTCACATTTGAACCAGTGAGAGTACATCAAGCTCACAGAGGTCAGTGTTGTTTGTCTTCAGGGAATTGGTTTGAGTTCAGGCTTTGTTTCTTAGTCATATCTGTACCTGGGTTTGTATTGTTCTGATTTTACCTGCCTGTAAGTCGTCTTTTCAGTTTAGCAAGGCGTCGAAAAGATTCTAAAATCAATAGCTGATACCTGCAGCCTACCTTTTAGATCCCAATAATCAGCTGGCAGCGTAAGACTTGCTGTGATATAAACCTGCTTCCACTGAACCTAAGAAAAACTTTGTTATTAAAGGATGAAGCACTTCTTAACTTACTGATTTTTAGGCTTTTCCTTTGATACTGAAATGACATTTATTCCTCTCAGTTGTTCAAAACCTACACCTATTTGGCTTCCTTTGTTCTCTTTCAGGGGATAGGAGAGGCAGGACTGTTCTTGGGATGCTCTGTGTTCTTTGCTTTGAGAGATGCAGTGACTAGTGTGAGGAATGAAAGAGGATTACAAAAGACCTTCACACTGAACAGCCCTCTGACCCCTGAGCAAATACGAGCAGCCTGTGCAGATGACTTTACTGAGATGGTAATAAGAAGGTGAGGGAAGGATCTGTTTAAGTATCTCTGGGGAGACAGCTCATTCCTTTTGGGACTCTTACTTTATAATGTAATGATCGTCATGCTTTGTAGACAGCAGTATCATGCTGCCCGCTCCTTGAAATTGAAATGTCTGGTAACAAGTCTCACTTGCACAAGCTATTCTAGCAAATGGCATTCAAGCATTGCATTAGAATCTCCCTCATTTTGTATAATCTATGCTTTCCTTGAAACTTCGATCATTTTTACAGTCTGCTTTCTTCCTGAAGCCTCGTCCTTTTCTCCTGCGGGTCAAATCCCAGAGAGGTTTAAATAACTCCTATTAGCAGCATGCAATGGATACTAGATTAGCCTCCAAGCAGTTTCAACTGCCTCATTCTGGTACTCATTGCTATGCCCACAATACTCCTTGGGAGAAAAATTATGAATTCAAAACTAACGAAAGGATACAGAAAAAAAACAAATGAGCCAATATACTTGTAATAATGGTCATCTTCCTGATTCCCTGTTTTCTGCTACTGTTCGCTGTAGCCACATTCCCACTGCTATTGCCATTTTTTCTGTGTAGGTATTGATTTAGTCCATAAAACCCATGAAGCAAGGTTCTCGGCAGTAACATACATCCATGCTGTGCCCTCGACCTCTGTTGAGGTTCTGCTGTAGAAACTCTTGGGTTCTCACTTACAGATTGCTCCTAGTAGCTAGTATTTCTGTGGTGGGGAGTCATTGGACCCCAAATCAGTAGCTCTGTGGAGTTCAGTTCTCATTGCAGGAGCTTGCTGGAGGTAAGATCCACCAACGCAGAGACCATACTTCTCCATCCATGTTCAGCCCTCATCCCAGTTGTCACTGACCTTCCTTGTAGCCACCTCCTGTGGGTACTTCCCATCTATCTCCTGCAAAACACTCTACTGAGTGACTTCAGAATGCCTTGGAGGCATATAGTAGGGACAGTGTTGGGAGCTAGTCAAATAGTAATAAGAAGTCACTCTTTTAATTTTTTGTTATTTCTTTTAGATGATGAACAATGGATCTGCCCCTCCACTTCTTGGGCCATTTCTGTGTGAACGCCAAACCATAGAGTGCACGACATCTGAATAGAATGCAATGGAAAGTACTAATTTACTGCCTCAATACACACTAATCAACATGCAGATAAAAATAATATTTTCTCATTTTCAGAAATATATGCTCCAGCTACAAAGAAATGCATATGACATCTTCTATCCTTTATCCTCGTTCTCCCTTAATAGTCTTCCCCCTCTCTCATTACAGTACTTTAAAGTTACTGTATTTAATTACTAGAAACATACCTGCATTTGAAGCATATGTAGTCCACAAGAAGGATCTGCTGAATAGCTTTCTTGCACAGCAGCCCCAGAAAGATCAACTCAAATGCAATTGTGGGAGAAGAAGGTTAGGATGAATTATCAAGGTATGTTAGATGCCTTACTGCTATTTGTCAGGCTTTAACAACTTGATATGATATTTGATTTTTGAAAGGCTTCAGCTAATTTAGATTTTAGTCTTGCAGCGGAGTGTCTGTGCAAAGATCTTTGTCTGTTGAAGGATTAGAACCCTGTTCATTGGATTCAGTCCCTTTTCGGTTACAAAGGTGATGCAATAATTTGTGGTAAAGCTGCTCTATATTCTTTTGGCACAGACATCTTTGTGATAATAACATGTAAGACATGAGTTCTGATTTTCTTTCGCTATGCCAGGAAAATTGCTGTGGCTGACCTGTGTAAACAGAAGATGAATTTATCCCAAAAGCTGCAAGAGTTACTTTGCTCTTGTTTCCCTTGGAGGATTTCTTTTTCTCGCAGAATTAGCCCAGAGCCTCTGAACTTTAATGGAAACACTTGCACAGAGTTCAGTGTGCTTTGAAAAGGAGCCTGGATGAAACTGTCTGTGGAAAGGATTCTTAAGCAGTGCTGTTGTGCACTGGTTAAACCTGTACTCAGGACTATATTGAGCCATGGACGTAGAGTTGAGAGCCCTTCTCTTACTCTTGAAAACTCCTGTGATAAAGCAGATGTATAAAACATAATAAGATCAAAAGATGATTTCGCAAAGATCAGATATCTGATCTTGCCCAGGGTGCAATAGGATTAGAACTGCGCCCAAGAAGTAGTAGCTGGAGAAAATAGGAAAAGATGAAGCAGCACTATATTAAATGGTAACAGAAATCAAGGTGTTAATAAATTTGATGTATCATATATTTGCAACCTAAATAAGACCAAGAAATTACATAGAATATACCAAGTTAATATATTATGAAAGCTCCAGTCACAGCATTCGTATTTCAGTATCTAAATCCACAATACTGAACTAAGAACTTCAGCCTTTCCTATTCTTGAAATGCAAAGCTGAAGTTACATTTCTGAACACATATGTGCATGTGCGCGTGCACACACACACAGAGCTCCGTGTTTTTTTTGGATTTGAGGCTTTGATTTGGGATACATCCTAACACTGAAAAACAATCTTTTTTATTTTGTTGATGAGACTACAGTAGTTACCCGAAGCAGCACCTTAATAATTGTAGCAGTTCTTTGATAGGAACATAGAACTGGGAAAATGGATAATTTGTATGTTCTGTGTGTGGTTTCAGTGAGCCTGCATCAGTCATTCCTTGCTGAGCACGATGACTGCCCTTCCAATTTCTCACAGGTCAGATTTCTCCAGAGCCATAAAGACTGCCATTTGTAATGAAAATAAATGTCTCTAACTAGTTTGTTTTACATGTCAGCCTGCAGTTTCTTAGTATTTCATTGCTCCTCAGTTTCCCACAGACTATTTCCTCTTCTTGCCTTCCATCCCTGTTTTTGTAAGTTGATACTGAATCTGTGACAGAAATCAAGTTAATGGGTCAACCTGTTTCTGTATTGGCTATTAAGAGACAGTGTCTTTCAATTTGTTTGTGTCTCTGTAACCTCTGTAAGTGAGCGAAATTCAGGTACTTAGACATAGGTATCTAGTACGATTTTAGATGTCATAGGATAGACAAGAGGGACATCTGCCTCTTGGCAGGTACGACATAGCAACTGGAGGCCAAGCAGGATGTACTAGGATATCTAAAGTGGCACTAGAACCCTAGTTTAGGCGATTGAAGCCCCCAGTGGTTGTTCTTTCTCTTCACTTTGCTTGTATATCTTTAGCTTTTATATATTGTAGGAAACTAAAAAAACCCATTTAAATATGAATGCTGCTGCCCTAGTTAGACTTTTGGATTTGAAAGTTTTTGTCTTAGTTTCACTGTGGGCTTGTTAGTGAAGAGCCACTCACAAATCCCGCATGTCAATAAGAGCCCCAAACCATGGGCAAATCCTGGGATATGCTGAAGCAGGTAGCATATAGGGTTAATGAAACTGGAGGAGGGTGCTTTGTGGCTCTCCTGTATACCTTTCATCAGCATAGGTGCTGCTAAGTTCCAGAGAACTTAACTCTTGCACCGATCCTAGCATGATCCCTGTCCCTCCCCCTCTCTCTACCTGCAGTGCTGAGGTATTTGCACTCTTGTGATTCATTGTATGCTGGAACTGCACTTTGCTTTTTGCAGATCACGTGCCTGTTTTACAGTATTTCTAAGCTATTACTGACAAATATTCCTCCCACCTCATTTCCAAGTGTTACTGTTACCTGATTGTCTCAGTAAAATCTATACATGTACCGAATATGGGTTGTTGGGGTTTTTTGGACTCAAACATATCAAGTTCTCTCCTGGCTTTTAGGTATTTAGAAAAAACTGCATGGAAGCTGGAATTATCCGCAGTTAAACATCCTGATATATGACACTGTGGCTACATGAGATATTATGAAATAAAATTGGAATTGACAAGTAGTAAAGAGTTTTTTTGGTTGTTGTTGTTACATTTTGAATGTTGTTAGAAATGTACAGGCTCAAGGGGCTAGATAAGCAGAAGGTTTAAGGCTCCACAGGCGCTAGCACATTGAGTAGCTATTGACACATTCATGTGCACTGCACAGAAACGCCCACACTTAAAATGGTGGAGAACTTTGCCTACTAGTTTTCTTGCTAAAATAAGTGTTTATGTAACTACCCACCCTCAGCACTCCTGTTGTCTGTTTAGGGAAGCTTAAACTCCTAATGTAAGTACTGGGTTCTGATCTGGAAGGCCTGGTACTCTGAAAATTAGATATTGGACTGCCAAAGTCCAGTACTGGATCTGGTTCTTTCTCTTCTCAGGCCTCTGAACCTGCATTGTTTTGCCTACAATGTGTGGATGTATACTGTCATGGACAGTACAGCAGTACCATGGTTGGCAGGATGTGTTACGGCTTTTGCCTGCAAAACTTAGTGGCTGAAGTCTCTTCACAACTTGCATTTTGGTAGGCCTTAGGCATACATTAGAGGCTAAAACACAAAAGAAGCAGCATAGCTGTGGAGAATCATTTTCTTTCCTTCTAAGGGGGAGCGATAAAATATGTGGGATTGACTACTTCATCTTGCAAACCTAGACTTGCTCACTCATTAAATGAAGTAAAGAGACCTTTGTTGTAATGTATAAAAATGGTAAGTGAAACAAAGACATATTTGTATAAAAATGACCTTTGAAAGTCATGCACATAAATCCACTTTTAAATAAAAAAGGCCAGCTGTAATAAAGCATTTTGGAACCAATCACCTTGTTTTCTGGATCCAAATCCAGAATAATGGATAAGAATTTAGAATCCCAAACCAGTATTTGAGATTCCAGTTCCTACATATCTAGCACATCTAGAGAGTGGTCATTTCCTGACAGCATCCAGAGCAGCCAGGCTGTTGAGCTAGCAGGGCATAGAGATAACCAGTAGGAAATTTTAAATGTATATATAGTAGCAGTCTTAATGCTATTAAAACTTTGGTCACTCTGCAGGAAAAAATCTAGATCATTCAGATTAGTGAAAGGCTAAAATGAGAAGCATGGCTCCACAGTTCAGCATTTGACACCCCACAAAACTGGATATTGTTGTACATCCTGGGTTCTAGCTTCGGGCATTCCTACGTGTTCTATATTCATCAGTTACTGAATAATATACAAAAACAGGCCTGAGAGTTGTAGTTTAAACCTATAAGTCTGCCATCATAGGTAAGTGACTTATGTTACAGAAGTAAGCTTTCTGACTCTCCTAATGAATTCCAGATCACTTGCTGCATAAGAGGCACTGGGTGGTGTGGAAAGTACTCCTGTTTCACTTAGCTCATTGCCTGGTATGTTGGGTACCAAATCAACATGAAGATGATTAGGGTTTGAATTCTTCCTCTGAGGGGCGATTGAAGTGCATGTTCTGAAATTTACACTTTGATATAAAAGTGGGAAGTGACATCGTTACTACTTTTAATTACAGTAGCCATCACTGGATTTTGTGGAGATGACAACCCTGACAGTGCAGGCTTGGCATGCTCAGAGTACTCCTACTGGGCTGGGTTCCTCAGGGGACTTAGCAGAGGCACCCTCATTTCTAGCATAGCAGTTCTGAGCTGTTGAGGCTGGGTCAGTTCTGGGCAGGCACCAGACAGACATCTACATTAGTTGAGCTAATTCTTTCCAGATTATTTCAGCTCACCAGAGAAGAGTTGGAGCAGTGTGTAGGAGTAGAAAGATTGGTGCATTACTATGTGAAAGTACATTAATTGTTGAGTAACTGCATACGCTAACACTGGCTCTTCCCTGTTTACATCATTTGATGCTTAGTCTGAAAATAAATTCTGCGAGGTACAAAGCAAACTCAGTTGACCTTTAGGAGCATATAGCATTTCATTACTTTCCCAGTGGTATGCAATACTTTATTTTTTCAGATTTTAGTACAACAGCATGGCTTACCCCCTACAATCAGATGAGCTTATCTTTTTTGTGAGTGGCAGGAAGGTAAGTTTTTTAAGTGCATTGTGTTTGAAGGGCACTGCTTTAATGGTTACTGTTTATAGTCAAAACAGGAAAGCTGTTATTCTGGAGCAGCAATTCATTCATGGATAATCATCTCTTGCCTGGGATCTTCCTGACAGCATCCTCAACTTTCTACCAAATTGGACTCGTGGATTATTCCTAACTTTACGCTGTGTCTTTACTGTGAATAGGAATATTGGGTTGCTTTATGGTTTCAGTTCGAGTCAAAGAATTTTAAACTTGTCTTAGGATTTTCCATTGAAATTGAATCATAAATGAAATTTCTTTTGAAAGCTTTAGAACTTCCATTGAAATGAATCACAGTTAAGCGTTAAATTCTCTGAAATTTCAAAATCTTAGCTCTGTGTAACTTAACATAAAGGGGCATACATTGGCTCAGTATTTTCTAGGTGCACATAAAGATCAAAAGTTTTTGCATAGCCTCAATAACTTTATGTTATCCTTCATGTCACAGAATTTTTAGAATTATAATTAGTTTTGCTATTTACTAAAATCTCATACTAACGTGCTTCTGAACTCAATGTAGTGAGAGTAATTAGGTCACTAGTAAAAGAATAAGCTGAAAATAAAATTAACGACTTTTTTCTGTTCTTGATGCCAAAACCTCACATTTCATTTTCTAAGACATTTTGTCACCTTTTGTTTCTTTCCAGGTCAAGTGAATAAGAATTCCTATTAACAAACATATCACCTAAAATATATTATAAGCTGAAATGGAGTTTTATTTCTCTCTTAAAAGAAAGTACTTGAGATGTATTTTTCTAGAGCTGTTTTCTAGGTTTTTAATATTTTTTTATATTTTAGAGTGAGTGTACTGGCTTTTTTTTAAACCTGATTCTAGGTGAATTAAGGAAAAAGTGGTTCAGTTCTTTTGTCTGTTGTATTTTACCTGTCATTACATACCGGCTGTGCTTAAAGACACACTCTGAAAAAAGGTTCAAGTCAAATGATGCTATTTTATATTTTCTAAAGCAGTATCACGTACTACTGATGTTATTTAACTGATAGAAAAACGTGCTCCCAAATAGCCAATATTATTGCCACCCCTTCATTTTAGGTGAAGATACTCCGAAGCTCTGAACTTCTTCTGCAATGTGGTTTGTTCCTTCCTGTGGAAAAACTGAGATTTTACTGTAGTTCTATTGATCTCTCAATACCACAGAACAACCTGCAGTTGTTTCACTCTGCAATTCTAAACAAATTCCTGAACTTGTTCATATTTTCTTATGTCTAAATTATATGTCTGTGAGTAAGTTGCAGCACAGTGCTGGTACAGCAGAACTCTTCAGGAAGCCTAAAATTCGATCGATTTTCATTCTGCTGTGATGGGCCCTAATACGTTTTCAAAGTTGTGTTATCTTGTCTCCAGCATGTTGCTGTACCATCAGTAAGCCTCAACACTGATTTCAAGGAGAAGTCAGTGTTGGGGAGATAAAAATACATGGAGTTTTCACACAAACATGATTTTGAAACTAAAGGTCTGGTTTTATGTGACAGCAGTGAAATTTTTGGTTCACGCTGATATGAATCAGTAAAGGATCTAGCCCAAAGACTCTCTTCTTTTTGTACCCTGTCCTCACTTAGCTTCCTTTCTCTTTCAGTTCTCTGAATAAACCATTATTTCTGTTACTTTAAAAGAACGTATTTGCCCAATACTGCCTGGCCTGTTCATTTATTTATTTGCAAATTGTGAATAAGTGACAGGTTCCTGATGCTGTACAAGCACACCACATATTAATCCACAATCACAGCATTTCAACAGCACAGTTAATCCTCATGGGGAGGTTATATTAGCTCCCTCTCTAACCCATAATCTCTCTTTTCATCTTCTATTGTAGGTAACAGAGAGGCAGGCAGATTCTGAAGAATTGTTGCTGTTTTATCTAAGAAAGAGGCATATCCTTTTTTGAGTTTTGCCTGAGTTAATGTAATTCTGTAAATTACTATAATTGAGAATTTTTTTTTCATTTTTCTTTGGGAATTGAGGTAAACAGAACAGTAAGTAGAAGTAAGACAACTCACCTTGTATTTGTTCTTGGCAGGGCAATACAGTGCTGTATGTGCTGGCTATATGTGCATGAGTATAAGTCTTCTAAACCCTGCCCAAATGCTTCTTTACAGCTCTTCAAACCATTTAAAAACCTTCCAGTGCATTTATGATAAATATAGTAATTAAATCAATGAGGAACTATTCCCGTATTAAATCATTTATTTAGACTGCAGTCCCTCAAAAATTTCTACATAAGCTTATCTTTATTTTTTGTCAGTTGAGACTGTTCAAGGGGCAGGCTCCTAACTTGTGTGACAGCTCTACTGCCTTCAGTGGCAACTGTCTCAGCTAAGAATTAGTCATGCAGATTATAAAGCTAAGCAAGTGTGTTTAGCTTTGCAGCTGAGAGCCTTCCATGGTGGAGGAAAAACAATATTAAAGGTGAGGATTAAGTGGGGAAGGGCTGTAGTGGAAATACTTTATTAGCTGCAGTAGTGCTTGCATTGTCCAAGTATTCAGTAGAATAATAAGCATCTCTTTAACAGTAAAGCACTGGATGATTAAGTTACATATTGATTACTACTGGGAACGCACAAGCGGATAAAAATTGCACTGAATTTAGGGGAACCTAGAAACATGATGGAAGACATGATCTAGTACATACAAGCAAAATGGATCTGAATGCACACACCCAGTTGGAAGAGTAATGGGTGTAAGTATCATTCTGAAATGGAGCTAAAATGAAAGGAGACAGCAGACTCTACCAGACTGTTACACACTGCAACACCAGAAGGAGGAGGAGATTGTGACTTGAGGGTGGAACTTTTATATGCAGGCACCTAATGGAAGGAGTCCTTCTGTATACAACTTAAGTGCGTGCGCCTGGATATTGTGTTCCGTACTGGGTACCACCATTACTGTACTCTTTGGACGTTCAGGAGTCAGCAGTGGAAACATACTGAGGTCTGCTGCAACTGCTTTAAGTAGTCACATATAAAGATCAGGAAGGTATTATGAGTAAAGCTAATAAGAGCACCTGTTGCTGTGTTTGTTCAACACATTCCACCACAGGATCCTGATTTCAGTTTCTTGGGACTTTTCCAAATGCTAACTATAGCAACTGAAAACCTCTGTGCTGGAAGTCTGCCTCACACTCGTTTCTCTCTCTGTTCTTATCTTTCTCATCTCTGAGCTCTCTCTCCATCTGTCCTATACCCATTTTCTTTTCTCTGGAGCTATTTGGTCAGAAGATCCCTTCATTTCTGCACATGCACATAAAACAAGGGAGACTTGGAAGAATATCAAGAAAAAATAACTTTTGAATGTTGACAATTTTTTTTTTCTTTAACTGTTTCCCTTCCAGTCCATCTTTCAGGGACAAAATATGGCTGTGGAGTAGGAGGCTGTGGTGCCTGCACTGTGATGATATCCACATATGACCCCGTTGCCAAGCAGATAGGGCATCCTCAGGCTGATATTTGGAAACAGTAATTTACTGTTTTAAGAAAATTCGTATTCACTGGGAAATAATGGTTCTTTCCATTTATATAGATTTTTAGGCAATGTGGTACCTATTTAAAAGCCTTACATATAGCCTTCCTCTACAAAGGAAATTACAAAGTTGGCCTCACTATCCTACAGTAACAGATTTAGATCTCCTCTCTCTAATCTTTGCAAAAATAAAACTTTATAGAGAGCTGATGTTTTAAAATTGGGATGTTTATGATTTGAGATTTCTGCAGCCCTTTTGTGCTTTGTTTGAGGATCTGTTACTGTCAATAAGTCTTCACTAGATGTTTCACAAAATCATTGATGAAATTCCCATGGACTTGAGCAATAAACACGTTGCACTGTAATTGTACGATTTTGCACATGGCAAAACCTAGAATTCTGCTTTCTCTCCCTGGCTCTAGAAACTTTGTTCCTTTAGTAATGCTGTGCCTGACTTTGTCAGGTCTGACTATAGACTTTATATTTTAATAAAATAAGTGATACTATATATTTTTTTAAATTAAAATTAATTTAAAGCTTATTGCTTAATGCCTATAAAGAAGTACCAGCTGTAGGAACAGGATGCATACTCTTATGGTCAAAGTGCAGCATTCTGTATGCTTGCATCTCCTTTTCCCATTCTCTTTTTGTTCAATCTGAGCATTTATAGATTAGATGGTGTATATACCCTTTGTTTCCTCCTCCATCGTCCCACATGTAAAAGCTATTTAACAGCACTGTTCTCCTTTATACCTCAAAGACATCATCCTGCCAACTCCTGCCTGCTCCCCATCTGCTCACTGCATGGTGCTGCTGTCACCACTGTGGAAGGGGTTGGAAGCCCAAAACCCAGGATTCATTCAATTCAGGTGAGAGCACGCTGGACTGTGTAGTGCAGAGAGCTAATGGGATTTTCCTGTCCTGTATCTATAATGAAGCTGAGATCTGTGAGAATGTGCAGTGAGTCTGTGCAATGAGGAGTCTCTGAAGGGATTCTAGGAACTCTGAATTTTGCTTACTTTTTGGACAAATGTAGAACAAGTGTTATTAGGAATTGTCATAGCAGTTATTGGATAGTGCTTGGCCTTGTAGTGGTACAGAACTGGGAATATGGAGCACGGAAGGAATTTCTTCCAATATACTGCCATGCAGGGAGCATATCACGAGCTCCCACAACACAGGGATATCCCTCCCTATGCCATATCGGATGCCAGCTTTCAGAGGTAGTAGGGAAAAAGAAAGAGCCTCAGTCTATTTTGTTTGGTGCACCCGCATGAGATCTGGCCAGCTCATTGAGGACAACCTGTTGCATTTGTTGCAGTAAGGGATGAGTGATTTCAGGTGGCAACTAGATTGTCAGGTATTAAATTAGACCCACATTTTCCATGTGCCAGAGACTTCCCTTGAATTAGATCAGCTTTGTACTTCCCCAGTTGTGGTTTGTTCCTGAGAAACCTGTCTGACCACATAAATTTAAATACATTTTCTAAACATCTTCTCTTTTCTGAATGCTATTTTTAAAGAGCCTTGACTATGGAACTAGTCTGCTCTGATGCTCTGGTCGATGAGATGTTCTGTTTTCTGGCCTTCATGGTTAGAAATACTTACAGTATGGGTGGATATCTAAACAGAAAATTGGGCTTTATTCTGTTCACACATCAAGGAATTAGAGCCATGAAGGTGTAACTAGGAGGCAGTATTGTCCTTCAGGTGACCACCTTCAGTATTTTTCTCATAAATGGTAATGATGGGATAGCCAAAATGCTGCTACTGACATAGAGCCTGTAGGTGACATACCTGAAGATGACTGTTCAGCCAGTCAAGGAATCTGGACATCTTGTTCTGTTTTTTTCTAGGAAAGGCTGGCCAAATGCCATGGCTCCCAGTGTGGCTTCTGCACCCCTGGAATGGTGATGTCCTTTTATGCTTTACTGAGAAACCATCTGGAACCTTCCATGGAGCAGATAATTTCTGCTCTGGATGGTAGGTTTCAGACAGTAAATTTTAAGAAGTATAATAAAGGGATAAATGTTTGATTGCTAAGATCATGATTTGACTCGAAGAGCAGTAGGTGGTATTTTGTCATAGCCATGGTGTCTAAGGACACCTCAAAGCCGTAAAAAGGTGGTTCACACTGGAGACTTTAGATGGGACGCTCCGTGGCATCTAGCGCTGGCTAAATATTTCTGAAAATCCTTGCATTTAGTCCAGACTGTTTTCATATCCGTCCTACACATATCCATCCAGTTCTGAGCTCCCCGGTATAAGAGAGACATGGAGCTCCTGGAGCGAGTCCGGCAAAGGGCTACTAAGATGATGAAGGAACTGGAGCATCTTTCATATGAGGAAAGACTGAGAGAGCTGGGACTGTTCAGCCTGGAGAAGAGAAGAGTGAGGGGGGATCTGATCAATGTGTATAAGCATCTGAAGGGAGGGTGTCAAGAGGATGGGGCCAGACTCTTCTCAGTGGTGCCCAGCGACAGGACAAGAGGCAACGGGCATAAACTGCAACACAGGAAGTTCCATCTGAACATGAGGAAGAACTTCTTTCCGGTGAGGGTGACAGAGCACTGGAACAGGTTGCCCAGAGAGCTTGTGAGGTCTTCATCCCTGGAGATATTCAAAAGCCATCTGGACATGGTCCTGGGCAACGTTGTACAAACACGGTAGGTGACCGTGTTTGAGCAGGGGGGTTGAACTTGATGATCTCCAGAGGTCCATCCCAACCTTGGCCATTCTGTGATTCTGTGATACACCGGCAGCCTCGATGTAATGCAATATGAATTAAGTGTTACAATGAATATAATGGAAAAAGCAGGCTCTTTCTACCTGCAGTGTAAGTACTCACCCATCAACAGTGTGAAGTTGCTGATACAGGTTTTAACAGATAGTTGCAGGAGAAATAGATTACATGGTATTTTAGCCCATTAAAACATTGATTGCTCTTCAAGAAAGATTTATTTTACCTCAATAAGTGAAGAAGTTTCAAATCACTTTCTAGCTCGAAGTTTCCTAACACTCTGATAGCTCCCAAAATAATTGACGCCACCACCCAGCAAATTTTGACTTAATGAAAGAAATACCAGAAAACGCCGGTAGGGACTTTACTACTGCTATTAGTTGTACACAAAAAAACATGATAGTGATGGATGGCAGTAGCTTTTTGATTACATTATAAAACCTAAAGACTGCAGTAGTAGTAGTGGCTGTGGTGGTGGTAGTCATAGTCGTATTAATTACGGTATTTACTCTAAGATGCTTTTCATCATTTTATTTTTGACATACATTTTGACAAAATCATAAAAATAATTCAAAATATTATAAATAGGCTTTAAATACCTTTTAATAATACCTTTTAAATACCTAATAATACCTTTTAATCATACATCAAAATTACTATTAAAGGACTATTTCACATTTTTACAGATGTGATTTTGCCTGTTGGAGAGCTGGGACACAAATTTCAGCATGTCGTGTCTATGGGTTGATCCCAAACCGTTTCTAATTATGCTGGTGCTCCCAGATGTTATCCTGGTTTCTTATGACTCATTATCATGTGATTTATTTCAGGTAATTTGTGCCGCTGCACAGGATATAGACCAATTATAGACAGCTACACATCTTTTGCTGGGGTAAGTCAGTGTTTCCAAACATGTTTCCTTTTTCGAGACAGTTGGTTATGCATGAAAAGGCCGAATCTTCTACCTGGAATCTGGCTTCATTTGAAAATTCTTTTTTGGCTGAGGCTTTGGAAAATCTGGCTGTTTACCTCTTTTGGTTTTCAAACGTGCTGGGCACTTAGAGCTGCCACTGACTTTAGGTTTACATGTCTCGCAATGCACTTAAGAATGCTTTGCATCAGCTCCGATGGCTTGATCCAGGTGCCACTGAAGTAATTTCAAGTTTTTCCATTTAGTTTATTGATAAAGGTATACAGGGATACAGAAAAGGAACTCAGTCCTAGGGGCCCCTTGGTTTAAGGGGTCTCCTGGACCAACTTCAATTGGCAGAACAAATCTGCTTTGGGAAAGGAAGAATCAAAAGGGCAGTTTACAAATAAATCACAAAGTGGCCTTGTTGTTTTTATAGAATAGTATATGATTTCTTTAGGAGCCAAAGTGTTGCCAGCTTAGAGGAACTGGACAGCGTTGCTTGGATCAGGAAGAACGTGTGTATTCATTCATCTTCTACAGGAGGTCAGGTAAGATGCTTTGGAATGTTTTTCATTATTTCCTCTTTGCACACTATAAAGTTAGTAGGAAAGGGCTATCTTGAACTATGGCAGCAGCTGCTTTTCTGTCCTTGGGCAATTAGCCCAGACTGAACTGCGTGCTCTGGGTGCTACAGAAAACTAGCACAAGCATATCTGCATTGCCATGGAATCATAATGGAGATCAAGTGCCCTGTTTAGTGATATTTTCTAGTGAGTGTGTGCTCCTCATTTAAGTCTCCTTTATTTTGAGGAGAAGGAAACTATTGATCAGGTACACCTTCACGAAAGAGGCTCGTCCTGATCTGAAGTCGAATTCTCCTAGCAGAAGTTCTGCAGCCATCAGCATGACTTGTTTTTGCGTGCCTGGGACGCTAAATCTGAATTTCTGAAGGTGAAACAAAGCTACCTCTGTGCAACGTCAGCTTGTATTTGCAGAGCTTTTCATAAAATCTTGCTGTGTGTTAATGGCTCTAAGATCTTCAGGAAATAAGTGTCTCATTTTCTACATTCTGCAATACTTGATACATTGGCATTGCTTCAAAATAGTAAGAAAAATGCACGTTGTTGTATTCTTTGCATATGAAACATATTGCACAAACTGAAAATCCCGAGTCACCTCACTGATGTTTCTTCTTGCAAAGGTCCCGCAATTAATAATGTATAAGGGTACATATGGGAACTTCAGTACACATAAGGCCTTCAGAATCTGAAGAAGCTGGCCTTCAGAATGGTCCTCCAATCGCTATGTGTATATCAGAACTTGTCTTCATGCACCTTCAAGAGGCTATAGTGCCCTAAAATGACTCCATGTAGCTTCATGATGGGAAGTTGAACTCCTCGGATTTATTCCCTCTGGCTGGAAAACTGGAAGGAGCCTCTAAAGTATATTTCTCTGAACTAAAATGTCTTCAGTGACCGGAGGAAAACTTGTTTGGCAATGAGAAAGCCTCAGAGCCCTGAGTAGTGTAACAGGATGCACATAGGTATGTTTGTGCACGTATGTGTACTGTCACTGCTCATTTAAGAATTGAAAATTGTTGGCCAGCTGTTGCCAGATTATTTTGAAGCAAATCTGGCAATGCAGCAGTTGCTGGTTGCAAAACAGCACCTGCTCTTGGTGCTCCCTTGTTTGGCTTTCACTGATTTGCTTTCCTCGTAGTTCTTCTTGTCCAAGTGAAGTAGCTGGTGCCTCATTAAGGGAGAGTGAGGATTTTTTGCAATCATATAAATGGAGTCAGTGGGTAGATGAGGTCATCCAGATTTGTTAGTTCTTATGGCCATGGTCTGTTCAGAGTGTCCAGAAATAATGACTGTATGCAGAAGGGACAGGAGACCAGACTGGGACATGTCAATCTCTTTTCCTGCTCAATATACTTGAGATTCTGTTGCTATCTAGTCTGACAAGATTTTTGATTGCAAGAATAAATCAGTGAGGCAGAAAAAAATAACCAGTGCTTGGAACACAGATATCCAGAATCTCCTTCCATGTAAGCTCCTTGCTGAAAGCTCAAAAGATGCATAGCTTTAAAAGATTTTATCTGAGGCCTTAGCAGAAGAGAAATATCTAGAAATAAGTAGAAAAAAGTTAATTCTTACAGTTTGCTGTCAGCATTCAGTTCTTGCAGTGCTTATGCAAGAGTGGAGAGGCTGCATTGAAGGAGAAAAAAGTCTGTCTGGTCAGACGACTGCTACGTTGTTTGTTATCATCTCAAACCCTCTCTGTCAGACAACTCCTTAACAGGCACAAATTATGAAAAGAATGTAATTGTACAGCACTGCATTTTCCCACAGTAGATACTTTATCCAATATGTCTGCCACACGTTTGCAGACCAGTTTCAAGAAAACGCTGCAAGGTCTTTCCTGAGGTTTGGTGCATTTCAAGGAAATACATGAGAGTGATTATTATGACAGTCTACGGCAGCTTGTGAGTAGGTATAGCAGAACTAAACATTAAAAATCAGTTTGAGGGTTTAACATATTGAATTTTTGAATGCAGCTCAACCTATAAGGTGTCAAAACTAAATGTCACTTCATCAAAGAATCTCTTCTGTTGACAGAGACTTGCAAGTTACTCTGAAAATATGAATTCTCCTTTTTTCCCCCAATTTCTTTGCAGATGCATTCAGGTCTTTGCAATCCAGAGGAATTCCAGCCCGTGGATCCAACACAGGAATTTATATTTCCTCCTAAACTAATGGTAGGAAGTATTCCTCTTTCCTTATTTACTTTTGTTATCATGAAAGGATGACTGAGTTGGTACAGATGTAGAAATCATGATGGACTTGTGAAATTGAAAGATATGTTTGAAATATCTATCCTCAGATAAACAGAAAAGATCAATTTGAGTCAAACATAATGAGATATTTTGGTTTTGATAATTTTTATGTTGTTATTATTATCAATAGCTCACATTTTTCCAAAAAAGAAATCACTTATCTGTCTAGAACGAAGACTTTGTTTCCAGACTTTCACGTAAACAACTCCTTACTGAGAACCATTTAATTTTGCACCAACTGTCCTTTTCTGTGAAAAACAGCATTTTGTTGGAAAGTTCCCAAATGAGCTTCTCCGTTTTTTCTGTGTTGTGATTCTTTGCTGGGTTCAAGAGACCACAAGACCCGTTTTCTTCCAACTGGCATGTAGACCCTGGCAACCTGAGTCTGGACTCTCAGTTACAGATGGGAAAGGCTGCAGGAAGGGCAAAGGATCTGAGGAGGGGAGGAAGAAAAGGCTTGTTGAGGTAGCTATTGGAGGGTCACAGAAGGACAGACGGAAGCTTGAAAGGAGGAGGCTGAAAGTGCCTCATGAGCTGCAGAGAGAGGCAAGAGAAGAAAGCAATGAAAATGGTAGAGCAGGATTTATGCAGACCAGACTGAGCAGAATCCAAGCAGGCAAGTCTAGACTATTTTTTACATCTCCACTAATGATTCAGTAGCTTCTTCAGTAGCTTCCTGTTGCGTGGTGCCCAGCAACAGGACAAGAGGCAATGGGCAGAAACTTAACCACAGGAAGTTCCATCTGAACCTGAGAAAAAACTTCTTCACTGTGAGGGTGACAGAGCACTGGCACAGGTTGCCCAGAGAGGTAGTGGAGTCTCCTTCCCTGGAGATATTCAAAACCCGTCTGGATGTGATCCTGGGAAATATGCTCTAGGTGACCCTGCTTGATCAGGGAGGTTGGACTAGATGATCTCCAGAGGTCCCTTCCAACCTAAACGATTCTGTGATTCTGTGATTCTTTTGAAATTCCTTGTTTTTGCAAACTTTTCTGGGCACTTCTGGCTGCTACTACACAACCACTTTGGGGACACAAAAGTTCATTTGGGGCCTAGACAAGCATAGGTTGGTTCTTTGATTTGTTACAGCATTACAGAATGTTCTTTGCTGTAAGGCAGCTGGCTTTGTAAGCATTTCATCATAAAGGATAACTTCCTTGTTTAATAATCGCCTTTCAATGCAGATCACATAGTAAGGCTTAAGCTCCTCTATGAATCCTAGAAGTGGAAGGCAGTTTTGCCTTGACCTGCCTTTGAGAGACTCATGCTTTAAGACTGTGTGTATTAAGTGGGCATTTTGCAACTTTTATCTTTGGATTAAAGATCTTTGTTAAACTGCTGCTGGCTCAAAATCTGTTCTGCCAGAAAGGAGATGGTGCTGTCATCTGTTCTGCATGTTCAGGCTGAGTTGCCAGGAGGAGTAGACTGATTCTCCAGAATACTCAAGCTTTTTAAAATGACCTTGACTGATTCCACTGAGCTAGCTCAAGTCCTGTGGGAGTTCCAAGCTGTCTGTTGATTTGAACAGGTTGGGCATTAAGCTCTGTATTTAGAAATTAAACCTAGTTGGTGAATATGATTTAAAGGTCTGGAGTACTGGAAAAAAGCATGTGAAATGCAGCTGTGAGGATACCTGCACAGTAATACTTAGTGAGAGATTCTTCTTTGGCAGAAGAGGTGCCCGCATCGCTAAGATTATGACTGGTTGCACAGACAAATAGTTCCTTTTAGATGTCCTTCAGGCAAGTCCTTTACCTGGAAGGCTAGCCCATAGTGCAACATTCTTCTGGTTTGTCTGCTGGCCTGTTTGTTCGTTGCATTGTTTGCAGAGACAAGTGTGTCTCAGTGTTTATTTTTGCACATTCTGAAGGCATGGTTCTACATGGCCCCTGTTGAATATGAAAACAACAAATAGTATAATCCCAGGGAAAGAAGGGATAAATTTAGCCATATATGACAGGAGGTGCCTAAGACACTCTTTGATTAAACAAAAATGCAAATAGCCATCAACCAACCCAAGGAGACAGTTTTTCAAAACAGATTAGTCCTTGCAGGCAAGTGGGACAGCAGCTACTTTAATTTTAGAAAACATTTTACTTATTGTAGAAACTTGTCTGGAGAAAGTACTGCCGATTAAAAAAAAAAACAAAAAAAAAAACAAACTCAGCAAGTGGGAATGCGGTGATCCTCCTTGACTGGGTCCCACTTCCTGTATTCGCTCACATATGCTGTGAGATTTTGGCATTCTGAGGGCAGTTACATTGCTTATTGGTTGCACTGTATACAGAAGAGCCTTTCTGAGTTATCAGAGCAGGAGAAAGGAAATTGTAAGACTAATCTTCCCCTACCACTAATTTCATGCTTCTCTTATCAAGTCATTTAACTGGTTCTTGTCTCAGTTTCTCCAGCAATAAGACAGTTATAATAAAAACTCAGCATTGTACAGCACTGCAGGAACCTCAGATGAAAAGCATCATTAATGTCTTACTGTGTATTGTGACAATGTTCGATATGGTACTTTATATGGTTCTTTATATTGACATTAGTCAAGAATACCAAATCTTTGTCATTTCCACCACAGAGAATGGCTCAAGAGCAGCAAAGAATAACTCTGATTTTCCACGGCAAGAGAACAACATGGATTTCCTCCCCTAGCCTGAAGGACCTTCTGGAGCTGAAAGCCAAGTATCCAAAGGCACCTCTGGTTCTGGGGAACCTTAGTGTGGCTATGGAAGGACAAGAGATCTCTTGACACAGGGATTACGTTATCCAGTGGGCATGTAATTCTACATTCTGTCTTCTGGGAGTCGTAAACGCACCCTAACGTTTGTGCTTCAGTAGGTAGGTCATTTCCTCCTGATTTTTTGCATCATGTCACCAACTAGACTAGACTAGTACCACCACCACCTGAGCCCAGGATCTGTGCTGCCAGTCTTCTCCCAGTAACTTCATAGTGACAATTTTGTGTGAATAAGGAAGGACTCACTGACACTGGTGGAAGCCAAACAGTTTTTACGTCCACGTTAGCTTGAGCATAACAAAAGAAAGAATGCCTATGAAAAGGGCAGTGTAATCACATATGACATTTGCTAGTTTCTGCATATTATGGACAGTTTTTTATTTTTATAAATTGTCGCTAAACTTTTTGTTTGAGGGAGTAATCAATTGGGAGGAATTGGGTAAGAGCATTTCCTTCACTGTTGGAACAATAATGACACAGACCCAAAGAGAACCCTTTGGGGTGTATGGTATCTGTGCATTGCCCAGCAAAGGGAACTTATGCAAAGAGCACTGAATGATGGCATTTTTCACTCTAGGTAGGGACTGGTTTGCAACCACTTACAGTGGTTTTGCACATTACAGTCTCTGTGTCAAGGAAAATGGTTCTTTAAACAGATTTCTAATCATGATATCTTACTTTGACTCAGCAAAAATGTTAGTGTTGTCCATCATCCACTCATTCTCCGTCCTGTTAGGATTCCAGAAATGCATGCTATGAGCAGCACAAATGATGGTAAGTCTCCAAGTTGCCTTTACAGGTGGTATGAACGGTGATGACTGGATTAACTTGGGTTTCGCATTTAGACACCAGAAGCAGTAAGAACTGTTGATTGTCAGTGGTGTGAAATGTCAGTCATTTCACTAAGCCCTCTAACCAGTACGTCAGCTCACCTATGGTCTAGAGACAATGGATGTTGACAGACAACTTATGAGACTGTTCTGCAAAAATATTGGGATCTCAAATCTCAGTTTTCTACAGACAGCAAACACAGGCCTTAAGTCAGCCTTACTGTTTTTATTTTTGCAGGGGTGACATGCCCTTCTGTCGCAACCACTGAATATAGATTTCCAATCCAAAATATCAAAAGATTTTCTTTAGAATGGTTGGACCGTATGCTCAGCTAGTAGAAATTATCACAAATGGACTGGCATCACAAGGGCTGTGCTAATGTACATCAGCAGAGAATCCAAACCAGTAGGCACATCATTTCAGTGAGTGGAGGCATCTGTAGCAAAAGTATGAAATGTAGCGTCTTCTCCATGGAAAATTAAGCTATTAAAAATCAGAGAAATCAGAGAAATTAACATTTTGTTACAAGTGACTCTTTCTCTCATTATGTTTTCCTGACTCTGTGATTTACATTTTAGGTGGCAGCAAATGAATTATAAATATTTCCAAATTATTATATGTCAGTGCAACACTGCATTTAAGGACACCTCAATAAAAGATGACTTTAGAGCATGGTCTTTGTTCAGAAAAAGCACTTTACAACCTTTGAAGACTTTTCTGCAGGCTTACTCCAGGGTTCACTGATGTCCATGGTAGTGGCTTCTCTGATACTAAGGGAAGTGTGATCAGGTGTTCAGTACTCAGTCCTGGAGGTTTCCAACACTTTGGTCGTCCTTCATCCTAATGAGTCAAACTCCTGTTCATATCTTTGGGGATATGCAGCACAAAAAAAGGACATACATTAGTGTGTGCAAATATGCACTATAATATTTTTCAAGTATGGGCATATACTGGGAAACATCGCTGAATAAGCAAATAGTATTTATGCTTCTTATTAAATGTAGTGTGAAATGCATCTTACTATCGTTTCTCTTTGCTATCCTGCTGAGAAAAGCTGTGTACAAAAGCAAATGTTTAGAGGCCTTGTCAGTTGTATAGCTGTCGCATTTATATATATGTCGCATTTGTATATATGTTGCATATATGTATAGATTTCACTGTTCAAATTCATTTGATTTCAGGGCTGGTAATAGGAGCTGCCTGCTGCCTGGCCCAGCTTAGAGACATCCTGACAGAGACGATCCCAAAAATACCAGAGGAGAAAACAAAGATTTTCCAAGCTCTTTTGCAGCAGCTGAGAACTCTAGCTGGAGAACAGATCAGGAGTATGGGTGTAGGTATTCAGCAGTGACAGTAAATGAGCCAAAACTACAGACGTATCTGTATGAATGTCACTTACAGGTATAAGGCATCAGAGAGGAAAGTTGGGTGAGGCTGGAATCATGACTGGTAAGGCCAAAGAGTCAATACCCTCACGAAAGTTGTATGAAATAAACAGGGAGTCCTAAGCCACTCATCAGGGGCAAATATCCAGAGAACTATAGCCATTGAAACTCTTGGTATCCTTGCTGACTGTTTGAGCACAGAACTGAAAGACTAAGATTAAAAAATGGGGGGTACATTGGCAAGATACTGCTAACCTTGCAGCCACTCATACTTTAGTTTGACTGTGGACACATAGCTATTAACCCATCATGCATAAGGCATCTCTGGTCTTATCCCTGAAATTTTCTTTAAAATTCATTTACCTGAGTACCTTGTATTTTTTCCTTTAATCAAGGGAATGGCCTTTTTTTTTTCTTGGGCAGAGGGGTTAACCTGGTCTCTCCCTTAAGCTAGAGTGATATGAGACAGGACTTTGCAAGAGAAAAATAAATTAAATCATATAAAAAAGAACAAATACAGAACTTGAGTTAAGACTGAACAAAGCAAATTTAAGTTCTTCCAACAGGACTTTTAAGTGATTAACACAGGATTATGATTACAGACTCCTGTTACATGTGAGATGGACAAGCCTAAAAAATAACCTCATTTTTTTGTTAAAGTCTTTAGGACACATTGTAAGCAGAGGATTGACTTGGGACTCGAACCCAATCTTATCAGTTGGCAAATTTGTCCTCAACTTAGCACCCGAAGCTAAGATGGGGACTCCCTGCCAAATATCTTTTCCAGACGGGCAGAGCAGTGCAAAAAAGAATATGATTGTAGGTGACAATTTCCAATCATAAAGTTGTAGCCATAAATTTTCCTATCATAAAGATCAACCTTTCCACACAAAGAATTCTGCAGTCTAAGACCAGCTCTGGAATGGACCTGGCCGTATGTTTTTAAGGCCATTGCATTGCAGAACTTTGGAGTTCTTCGTATTTTTCACTGCAAACAGTGATTACTGAAAATGAGCTCTTCTTGTCTGTTTATATTCATTTAATTTTCATGGTAACATTTTTGGAGGGTTATTGTCGCTGTGAGATTCTAACATCCTAGAATGCTGAGGACAGTATTGTCCTGTATCAACACTCTCATTCTAGCTTTTTTTTTTTTTTTTGGATAGATTCAATGACATTTTAATCTGCAAAGCATAGATATTTCCTTTCTTGCCTCTGCATTCAATAATAGATTACAGTTTTCTCCAACAGATGGCAAACAACAGATTCTTTTAAATGATCAGTTTCTTACCGGCTGTGAGCATTCAGACATTAAGCCAAAGGAGGTCATTGTCTCTGTTCTCATCCCATATTCTAAGAAGGTAAGGTCTGTGGTGTCCTTTCTGGATTGCTTTTAATCTTTTGTGGTGTATACAGTGTTATATTGCCTTATAGCTTAAAGAAAACCCTGAAAAAGATGAAAAGCATTGTGTACATTTCAGTCCAAATATTGGATGACAGAAGCATTCAATGCAGCTTTATACTAAGCTAACATTTGCACGATACTTTAGAGGTTTCATTCAGGTCCTAGTGTAGTTACAAGGAATATTTCCATTATCTTCAGTGGGCTTTGAATTTGGCCCCTAAACATGCAGGTGACTACTGCTATGTAAACAGCTCAGAAGGCTCTGGCCTCCCAGAATCACCTCTCACTTACAGTTCATCCATCCAGCCATGATCTCCTGCTTCTTTAGGTCCCTCACTTTTTCACTCTTACATGTCCATTTGTGCCCCATCCGGATACAGAAGTTTGGGCTATCTGAATCTTTCCAGGAAAAAGGCCACGCTGTCACAGTCTTCAGAGAAAAAGCTCATTTCTGTTCGCTAAGTAATTAGCGATTTATGCCCGGAATAGTCTTGGGATTGTCTCTGGGACTACTCACAACATAAGATCCTAAGCGCTATGAGCAAGGCTTGCAGAATGTGGCAGAGGTTAGAGGCAGAGCAGATTGTGTCATTGGTAACTGTGTTCTTAGATATCCCTCTAGTGGATGTGAGGAAAACTACCCGGGAAGTAGGGGAAGACTTAAGTACTAGCAAATATGTTGTGATTCGAGTCAGAGGGAGCGACCATAGGAGTGTCTGCCAGTCTTGGAAAAGGAGAGTCTATTGCCAGAGTAGCTGCCCACTGCAACACAGCATTATGAACGTACCTGATCTCATGCTGGAGGAGTGCTATCGCCTCTTAGAGGCTGGCCATCCATAGTAGATTTCCGATTAAAAACTACAAGATTGCATAAGCTTAGAATCTGCAATAGCATAACCTCTGCTGCTAGCAGCAACAGTGCTTCTGCTGCCAGAAACTCTGAGCCTTAGTGGTGATTTGAGAGATAATCAGACTAAAAGAGAAAATGACGATAGCTCTGTCAGTGCTACTGAAATACGTGGAAATGGAAGACATAGCACTACTGGTGAATTCAAAAGGTCACTTTAAAGAGGAAAACTAGCTGTCAACAATCACATGAAAAGCATGTGAGATTCAGCAGCCTCACCACAGGAAATTAACTCATCAGCATTTCTTGGGAGGCTGTTTCTGCCACTCGTTTGAATTGCCTCTTTGATTAGTTCTGCTGATAAATGAAAAGGCACACGCACACTTTTTTTGCAGTATTTGTCAACAGAAAGTGAAGGAACAGCAGTGTAGATGGAAACCCAGCTGTCAGGTCGCAGTCTTGTTCCTGTCAGTTGCTGGGTTTCTGATTTTGTGTATGTTGGTGTGAATGTTGCCTCAGTGAAGCAAAGATGCAAATCCTGTTGAGAAGATTTTCCGTCTCCAAAAAGATTCACGACTGACCATGTAATCCCGAGTCTTACATTTGCCGTGGGAGTATCACATACTGATAGTGAAGGATCTAACCTGCTGGTCCCTTCTTTAGAAGACCTGTGACTGGCTGAATCTGAAGTGTTTTTCTGGGGCTATAGAAAGGGCACTTTATATCCTCTCTTCAGAGCAGTCCTCTGCGCCTGACCATGGAAGAAACTGCTATTGCATTTTCTTTTAGAATATGTGGACTTGGCTTCAGAACAGAAGGACATTCCTGACAGCTGTTTCAAGTACCTCCCTCTGTAAATGCCATTATTGTATATAAAGTGTAGAATCCCTGAGCGTACAATCTTCCTGAAACCGGGTTCTTTAGCACAGCATTACCACCATGTCCTGGAGTGGAAACCACTGTCTTCTAAGCTGAAATTCAATTTAAGGAACATACCAGCTATATTTGAAGTGGCTTATGCCAGGGCTGCTCTTCCAGCACTTTGAAGTGATTAATGACAAGTCATTAAACTGTTGATAAATTTAAATTTTAACATGTTTTGCTTACATGTGGATAACCTCAAATACGATCCCTTTTCAGTATGTCTGTCTATGATCAGCTTAGTACTTCAAAGAGATTAAAAATGTTAACTAAAACACTAATTCTAGCAAATGTTCTTTAAAGTGTTTCTTTCTTTGGACAACAGGAACAACCAAAATACAAGGAGGAGTAGGTTATTTTTCTTTTAACAAGGTCAGTTTCTGACATTGATGGAAATTTGTCTTGCCTTTTTCCCAATAGGATGACTTTATTTCAGCCTTCAGACAGGCTGAACCTCAGAAAAATGCTCTATCCATAGTGAATTCTGGAATGCGTGTCATCTTCAGTCCAGGCACAGACCCCGTTGTAGATCTGAGTATTTTATATGGAGGCATTGGCTCAACCACAATCAGTGCAAGAAATTCTGGTGAGAAGCTTATAGGAAGGTACTGGATGATTTAATGTATTTAAGCAAAAAGCGAGACGTATGATATGATGCATAGGGTCTGTTGGATTCTGTCAGCGGAGATCCCAGCACCAACCTCTCACAACCTCTACTTGACAAGCTTTCACTAACAATAGGTTATTTCTTGATATACCTTATGCTGGTTCTCTTACTACTTCCAGCATACTTCACATTCGCTTTAGCTGCGTGTTATTTATAGAAATGTCTGTTCATGCCAGTCTATTTTTCTACCAGGCAATGGAACGATCAGATGCTGAACGAAGCTTGCAAACTGGTGCTTGAGGAAATTTCTCTCTCTACGTCAGCTCTGGGTGGGAAAGTGGAATACAGGAGGACCCTGCTTGTCAGCTTCCTTTTCAAATTTTACCTGGAAGTGTTACATGGTTTACATGGGATGGTAAGCACAGGGTAAGCATTGCACACCCACAGCAGCATCCAGGCTGCAGAAAATCTCCACTTTTTTAAAGACCTGGGAATGGGAGAAGGAGGGGTAAAAGTGCTAGGCTTTATTTCAAAACATGTGAAGGGAAGAGCTTAGCTTTAGAAATAAAGGTCTGACATCATCTTCCTCTCAGTATCCCCTCAGGTATGCTGAGATCTCAGAGGAGCAGAAGAGTGCCTTGGGAGTGCTAGAAAGTGGTGTTCCCCAGGGTGTCCAAGTCTATCAGGTGAGGTGGGCTTGTAGCTGGGACTGCCACAGACTCTCTATCTTAATGAGTATTGTGCCCTTTTAACTTTTCATTCCGAAGTCTCCACTAATTGTAGTATGAAGCTGCTGAAACAGTTGACCCTGTGGGAAATCTTTTTTTTTTTTTTTTTATAAACTTACTGGTCTCTCAGGGTGCAGATGTACTCAAGGTATTGTGTGGCATCTGGCTATCCTGACACAACTGAATCGGGGACACAGCTTTCAGCTAAGCAAGACCTCAGCAAGATTTAGTGATCTCAGTTAAACTATCCAGTGGGTTTCAGTTAAAATAAATGGAGCAACCTGCTGTAGCGTTGCTGTGATAGTTCAAGCCTTAAAGATTCATTTAAGCTACAACTCTAGGGGAGAGTTGGCTGGCATGTGAAAAAGTTTGTTCAGTGACAGAGCTCAATAAAAAGCATTTTAATGTTGCATCAAGAATTTTCACTCAAACGTTTGTTTTGTTGGAAAATTAAAAACCATTAAAAATCCAACTTTTGCTTCTTCTCATCAGTTTTCCACCAAAACCTGTCGGCACTCCCTTCAGCCAATAATTTGTTTTGTTCTCCTTTGATAGATTGACCTTTTTTTTAAGGAAAAATATGTTTTGCATAGAACTTTTTACTCAGCCAAAGCCCAGCCAAAACATAAATGCTGGAAGATTTTCAACTATCACTGGTAACAGTCTGTTTCAAGTTGATGTGAAATGTATTATCAGCAATTCAACAATAGAGAGCACCAAAGCCATGTTTTCATTAAGTGTGTCTGAAAATCTTTCAATTTAAGGCTGTTTTTGAAATAATAGAGGGGACTGATGATGGGGATTTAATAAGCAAAAACTTGGATGAAACCATTTTTTAGTTTAGTCGACACTGGCCAGAATATTCATTTGCCTGTCTCTTTTGGCAAATGGACAAGGAGTTATAGTGATCTCTGAATATAGCCTTGATTTCAGATACTATTTTCTCCCAAGTAAACGGTATGAAATATGGTTTATTTGAAGCAGCATTCATGTAAACTCTTTTTCTGAAAGATGCTATGAGGAACAGTATGCTCCCAGCAGCCTGGTTAGCTAACAGGTTAGCTGATATTCACTCAGAAGTCTTCAGGTCTACTTTGTCTGCCACAGTTCTGCTGTGTGGACAAGTCATTTTGTCGCTCTTACCTCTCTTCTTGCTTTTTCCGTTTATATGTTGCAGTCTTTCTGGGGAAGAGACTGCCATTTACTAGAGATGTGAATAGTGTCTAATACAGTAGATTTTTCTGATCTTGGTCAGGACACGTTGGTGCCAGTATACCACAAATTCTAAAAATGGAATCCGCGCTTTGAAATGTTTCCCATGAATAGTGTCATAAAGTCTAGATGGTTTAATAATCACAACATGATCTCAGGAAGTGTTTGTGAGTAAGGCTTTGTATAATTATTATTCTGGCTTGAGGATAACACATTCCTATTATGCAGGATGTTGACCCAGGACAGTCACCACAAGATCCTGTGGGATGTCCCATCATGCACCAGTCTGGTATTAAGCATGCCACTGGTGAAGCAGTTCACGTTGGTGACATTCGTCTGGTTGATGGAGAGCTTTCACTGGCTGTGGTTACCAGTATTAAAGCCCATGCAAAGATTATGTAAGTAAGAAAACATGTCACCACAGAGAGTTTAACTATATAATATCTTTGTGATCTGCATGGATAGGCTGTAATAAAAGTGGATTTTTTTTATGTTCACTTAGGACTGGGCGTCCAGTTCGTTTTGTCCTTGAAAGAAATCTGGATATGTTAATCGCTGGTGGACGGCACCCTTTCTTTGGAAAATATAAGAGTGAGAGGAGAAGATACTTTGCTGAATTACTGGGTGATAGTTCATTTGAGGCAAATCAGCATCATTTTATTGACAGCAAGACACAGCATAAAACCAATCTCCTCCTCTTCTGAAATCCTAACCCCAGTGCCAACCTTGTCCCAGTCCTAAGACCGCTCTGACAAATACTATGAATCAGAACAACAGCTGTCATTCTATTCCTACTGCCCATGCAATATCCCATAATAAGCAGAGCTATCCATCCCTTTTCTTACTCCAAAATACTGCTAACATCAGTCCTTCCCTGTTCTCAGATGACAAGTACTTGAATCAGAATTAAATATAGCTACTTTTCAGACACAAAGCCAGCCTTGCAAGCTAATGTAGGATTCAGCCAATGGCAAAACTCTTCCTTTTGGCTTGTCCAAAATCCTTACATTAAGAATAACTAGGTAAACAATGCCAGCACCAAAGCCAGCTTCCCAAACGCAGATGATAACAGGTGCTAGCAGGAATAAAAACCTTCTGTTTGGTGTTGGTGTATGTCTTGAGCGCATTAAAACTCTCCAGGATAGGGTTGATTGTTCAATATGGTTTTGGTAAAGGAGGGCTGAGGAGCTGGTTTTCCCGTTGACTCTTGCATTAGCAGTAGATCTTGGTTGAGGGCTGTTCTGGGAGAGGCTGGATATATGTTTCATTTTGCTGAAGATATTGCTCACAAAGGTGCTGTTAGATTATGGTTATGGTTAGACTAGGTTTAGAATGGAAATTTGGGAAAAGAAGGAAGTTTCACTTCTTATTAAATGTTGTCTTAACCACAGAACAAGGAAGGGGGTTAGGACAGACAGACTGGGATGTTTCATGTAGGTGTTACCCAGACACATCTGAAGATAGGCCTAATATAAGGGTTACAGTTTCTTCCTCAGTCTGAGATGAAGTTGATGTTGTAAGTGATGAACTGTTTATTTTAATTTCTGCTTATTAGTAGGTATTATTAATACTTCATAGGTATGGCAATGCTCTATTTTTCCTGACTTGAGACTGTCACTTCAAGTGGACTGGATATCTGTTTTTTTTTTGTTTTGTTTTTTTTTTTTAAACTCTTATTACAGGTTGGCAGTCATGAACTGAAGATGCTATTGTCATGTATACACCTCCGTGAAACAAGTACGACAACTGTACCTAATGGCAAATACACAGCAGGTTCAATTGGAATGGAAATCAATGCAAGAACAGTCCAGGTTACATTTATTTGCATTTTTTCCACATAATCATTGGTTCTGTTAAAGAATGAATACCCTTCTGAGGATTTATAACTTTTTCATTTTGCTTTTGAGTGGCTTTTATAAAACAAATCAGTTCCTTTATCTCAAAATCTCTCTTTCTAGTTTATTTTATATGCACAGTTTAAAGGAAGGCAACTTACTGAACACTGTTCAAAAGGGATACTTTTTTCTGCTTTACTCTATCAGATTTAGAAAAGTTTTCTTTAGGTGGCAGCTAAAGGAATGTATGGATCTTCACTTTATTCTGACTACTAAACACAATTTAAAGGGAAATTTAGCATAAGGTATATTTCAGGTACATTTCTTTATAATTAGAATGAAACACCCTTATCTACTTAAACACTTAATTATTATTTACTTAAATGCTTAATTGTGCTTTCATTTATTTCACAACAAACACTCAAGCCAGTGATTTTCTGTCTAGTAAATCAAAACGGGAGGGGAGTCATGTCCTTTGTCTTCTTTTTTTTTTTGATGATTTCAGTGATAGCCTGGTATGTGAAGACCTCATGTGTTAGAGCAGATGCCAGTGCCAGTTTTTGCAAAGTACTGCATTTGTAGCTGGCAGTTAGCAGAGGAAAGAAGTTGTAACCAAATGAGTAGATTTATAGCCCTCAGAATGAAACTGCTAACACAGATCGGCCTTGCTTTGGGCCATTACCAATTGAAGGTAGAACAGAACATGCTAGAGGAACACTTAGCAAATTAACCTCACCAGGCAAGAGCTTGTATTGTTTTGAAAACGGCAGATAGATTTGGTTTTATGGGTTGGTAAACAGTGCCCAATTTTCTTTCCCACTAGGATGCCTGTCAAATCCTTTGGAAGCACCTGGGCCCTATCCAGAGTAAAAATCCTAATGGCAAATGGGAAGACTGGGTAAATGCCTTTCTATATTTCATACTATTAAGTTATGATGAACCAACAGGTGTCGTGTGGAACCTGCCATTCCAGAGGGAGTGAAACCTCCCTCTGCCTCCAGAAGGAGGAAGGGGCCTCCCTGCCTGAAGTAAACTGGAGGAGAGGAAGAGAAGGAACAGTGGAAGAGCAAGTGGTGCAACCCACCGGCCTGGTAAATCTGGCCAACTTCAGAGATTGTCTTTTGCCGTGTGTCCCTTCCTAGAAACCATTGCAGGGCATAAGGAAAAATAAAGCTTTTACGTAGGGCTCCCAAGTTTCCCTTTTTCTTTAAACATGGTAAGGGATATGTATGTTGTTTTAATTCTCTCTCTCTAATAATGAATATACCTTTTGCAAATCAGTGAAGCTCACAAGCAAAGCACCAGTCTTTCAGCTACTGGCTATTTCAAGTAAGGGAAGCTGTTAGATTCTTTGGATGTCTTGGCATCAAAGATGTCACTTTGCCAGTATGTTGCAGGAATGATGAAACTTTCCCCATTAAATCTCCTTAAATCCAAAGCAGATGCAGCATACAAACCATTAAACAGTGGCCTGACCACAGACTGCCTTATTTTCAGCCTATACTGGTTTCAGAAGAACTTTATATCCTCGGTTAGCTAGTTTGATAGTGGATCCATAGTCTTCTCCAGTGCCAACTACAGTGGGACGCAGGAAGCCCTTAAGGAATTTTGCCTCATGGACATCACAGTTTGCTGCCATCCTATCCTCCGAAATCATTCAGTGCAACAGGTATTTACCAGTGGTGCTACAGCCCAGATCATCTTTGACTATGGAAATCCTAAGAAAAGGGTTAGATTTGAGAATTTACTTCTCATGCTGTATGATTTCCCTAGTGGTCTCAGTAATAACGACAAGGATGATGGGGTGGGGGGGTGTCGTGATCACATTAATCTGATCTGAAGGATAGTCTTACTTCCTCCAGGGGTTAAGTTACAAACATGAACGGGGACACAAAAAAGGGCCATGCTTTCCATATTTTCTCTTTGGAGTTGCTTGTTCTGAAGTAGAAGTTGATTGTCTGGCAGGAGACCACAAGGTAATGACAAGAAATGTGATGAATTGAAGTAGAGCTGGGTAACATTCCCACCATTGCTACGCTCAGATGATAATTTTTCCTTTTGCTCCTTTTGGTTGAGAATAGACATAGTCTTTGTTGAGTGTACTCAACACAATGCCAGCAGAACACAAAATAGCTATACGTGTCCTTTACAATATAATTTGTTAATCCTCTTTTGGGGAGAAAAGTCTGATGTTAACCAGAATAATAAGAAAGTCTATGAGAACAGTAGAAAGTAAAGAAGGTCTTATAATGTATCTACCACGTATGATGGCTTTGAAATTCCGTCATAGCTTCTGGACATCTCCTTGTGAGCTAGCTCTTCAACAGCACAAGCCCAAATCATTAGTTACAGTTGCCTTTTTAATAGGGCTACATTTAAAATGGAAGAAGCCACTTTCACGTAACATGCCTGTTGCAAAGGGGATGCAATGCAGGGACAATTCTCAGAAGCATTGTATGGAGACCAACCCAGTGTCTTCAGGGCTACTGGGGAAATGCATTTTGCAGCAGTGGCTGCCATACATCTGTAGCCTGTGTGGAGCTAAGCTCCAAAGTCACTGGAATCTGTAGACCCCATTAACTACATTCAGCTAGGATTTAGGAGGAGAAGCTATGAGACCTTATATAAAGACAGCATAGTAGTCATTCTTCCCTGTCCCTTCCTCTGCATTACACATCAGGAACTTCTGGTCTTCTGGACTTCAGGTGACTGCTTCCGGACTTACGGCAAAGCATAGGAAGTGGCTAAATATCACATCAAACAATTCAGTTTTCATCAGAGAAAAAGCAACAAAGCCATTCTTGAATTTCTGATCATCCTGTTCCCCATCGGATGTGCACACCACATCACACAATCAGACAATCAAAAAAATGCATCATCTGGATGAACTCTCCATCAGCTCAGTCTTTTCCAAGTTGCTTTCATTTTTTCAGAATAAATTCATAGTAGTTGTGATGATAGATCTTTAATGAGTGGGACTGCATGTTGTTTAGCATCCCTTTTATGTTGTATATTTTAAATATAACTTCATAACACCTTTTATTTGTTTGACAGAACATCAGAACAGACATTGTCATGGATGCCTGCTTTAATGTAAATCCAGCTATAGATATAGGACAGGTATGTACTTTCATAGTTGTGCTTTAGATTCGATGTTAGTGACAGGTGATTCTTTGTGTCTAAATAACTGCTGTTACTGGTCAATTTAATGTCCACCAAAGCCTATGAGAGACCATCTATTAAGGCTGAAGGAGGTTAGATTGGCAGATGTCAAACATCTATTTTTTTATTTGCAGCTATAAATAATACTAGGTTAAGTTTTCTGCTTCTTGATCAACTTTGGAGAAGTGATGAGTAAAAGCAGGTCCAACAGACTTTGTAGGATTAGAACCCTGAATCTCCTTGTGACTTTTTCCTGATCTATTTGTACCCAAAAAATTGTTGACTAAAGGCTAAATCTTAGCTAGTTGCAGAGCATTGTTGACTTCAGCTGTGTTAAGAACTTCAGATGTCATGGAAAAAGCTATTGACATGGAGCAATGTCGTGTCAATAGCAATATTCATTTCCATAGCCACGTATTATGTATTCAAATACCTACAGCTACAGACAAACTGAATGTTTACAAAAGCAGTGTCACTCGCTAATACTTTGTAAATAGGAAAATAGAGGTGAACTCAGAAGCGGGCAAAATATTTGTCATTCATTTGCAGAGTCAAAGAAAATGCTCCTAAGAATGTGATTTAAATTAAAAAGCCCTTCTTATCCTACTTATTTATCTTATTACAGGCTCTTCCTCACATACTTGCTCTTTGTTTAATAGATTATGTTCATTATGCGTATCCAAGGATTGCCAGATTTGCCGAAGTCATTCTACCTTAGCACTTTGGTTCTGTGTTCATCTTGCACCAGTGTTTACATTACCACTGTCATAGCCTGGGTGTCTCCTCAGCAGTGGTTCCTACTTTAGGTTGGCCTGCTATTTTCTCTTCATATCCAGCCTCTCAGATATTTTCACTTGCTATCTGCAATTCTTTTTAAACAAATATCAGATTGAGCAGACTATTTGTGTCATAGTCCCTGGTCTCCTTACCTCCTTACCGAAGTTCCTCTGAGCAATGCTCCTGAAGTTGGTGGATTTGACTCGGCTCTCAGTTACGCCAAAGCAAATCAGAGGTAACTGCACTAGTTACAGTGAGTTTAGCCAGGAATAAGGAAGAGTAGAACTTGAGCCAATGAAAATATTTGTGCAAGTCAGAGGAGGACACTTTGGTCCTGTTTTAATCTATATTGGTTTAACTTTTACTTGTGGAAGGAAAGGTGCCAGTTAATGTGTAATCTTAAAAAGTCTAATTTGATGTACGTTTTTATCTTTTAAAATGACTGAATGAAAATCTAAAAATGTACCTTTTTTTGTCTTTGCTCAGATTGAAGGGGCCTTCATTCAGGCAGTTGGTCTTTATACATTAGAAGAAATCTGCTTTTCCCCAGGAGGAGAGCAAATCAGTCTTGGCCCAGATATGTATAAGATCCCTGCAATCTGTGACATTCCTGAGCAGTTCCACGTGTGTTTGCTGCCCAATTCACGCAACTCAATTGCCATTTATTCCTCCAAGGTAAACAGGCCGAATTTACTGTATACAATACAAGCAAGCACGCCAGGTGATTCTGGTGCAAAACCTTAAGTGTTTGTGGTATACACACAGGTGCATTTTTTTTTTTTTCAAAATAATTCCAATTTCATCTATGCCACAGATTTCAGAGTTAGTCCATGTACTTAAATGGTGCAACATTGCTGTTTTGAGGTTTTGGACTCTATTCCTTCCTGTGATTAGTTGACATTACAGTAGCACTTGGAAGCCCTAACCAAAATTGGAACCTTTTTGTACCTAGCTGTTGTGCTACACACAGAAAATGAAAGAGTCTGTCCTGAAGAGCTTAAACAGCCTAAACAGGAAAAAAGGATGGAAGAAGGAAATATTATGATCCTTTTAAAGATGGAGAAGTCATGTGGAGAGAGAGAGAAAGTAAATGTCTACCATCTCACAGGAAGCCTATGACAGGTATGGGAACAGAATCCAGTTCTTTCCTTAGCCTGTCTCCAAGGCACCAATCTTTCTATTTCAAGGTTATATCAGCCTCTGAGGAGGAACTCAGCGCTAGGCTTGAGCACTATTAATAGCCTCAAAATAAAAGCAAAAAAAATCCCCGAAAAACAAAACAAAAAAACCCCCTTCAGAATAAAAGGAGAATTAAACTGGAGTGTATAGGCCTCTGGCTACTAAAAGGCTGGAATACCCACTCTTCCAGTCTAGTGTCTAAACCAGGTATGTCAGAGGAATGGGAATTTCCAGAAGGTCCACTCCAGATATTTATGGCCTTACTCAGTATGAATGAGTAAATTAACTCTTCCGCAAGAAGATGATAGATACTAGATACAACGGGCGTATTTCTTATCAAAATTAGGCAGTGCAAACTTTATCCATTCAAGAGAGGCTAAAGAGGGGCTTTCTTCCTCTATTTGATCATGTAGAATTAAGTCCACTTGGATATGGAAAAAGGAAGTTTATATGAGAAGTCGTGAGTTATTTCATGGCTTTGTAATGTGAATTTTGAAGTCACAGAATAAAGCTTTTCCGATAGTGTAGCTGTGTTGTGAATTTTGAAATTATCTCCATCAGCCAAACCCTGGGCCTTGATGTTTTTCTGATTTAAAGATTCTCAGAGATCCAAGAAAATTTGTTGAATCCAAATATGCTGGTCTTAGCCAGATATTGAACTGGTGTGATTCAGTGTAGTTCGGATAACTTCACTGAAGATGTGTGGATTTAGCTCCATGATGAGTTTAGAAACTGGATGATGAGTTTAGAAACTGACAGCAACTACTCCAGCTGCCTCTCTCCTCTGCCAGGGCATGGGTGAAGCTGGGCTCTTCTCGGGTAGCTCAATTTTCTTCACGATAAGGGATGCAGTAGCTGCTGCACGGAAGGAAAGAGGATTGCCCCTGGACTTCACACTGAACAGCCCATTGACTGTTGAGCGGATTCGCATGGCCTGTGCTGATGACTTTACTGAGACGGTAGGTAATGGTATTTTACTCTTCTCATGAGCTAGCCATCTCAATACTTCTCTTTAATATGAATGGACTGTTCACAAAAACTGATCAGTGAGCCGCATCTCTTTTCTTTAACGTGTCATGCTTAGCAGAGCTATGCATTTCATTTAATCAGTGGCACTTTGCTCAGCTATGTTGGCTGAGTAGCATAAACTGACAGCCAGAGTTATCACCAGTCCAAACCTAAGGAATCTGTCTGCTTTCCTCAGTGGTAATGATTTCAATTTATATATACGCTTTATTTTCAAAGCCCCTGAAAGTACTTTTGAGATTATAGTCTGACTTTATCTTAAGCGTTACTTCATTTGCATCTCTGTTAGGAATTATGATTCTGTCTAGACGCAGAGCACGTGTGCTCCATCATTTGTCCTACGTTCCTGGTCTGTGCTGATTCCACTTTGACCCACATACCCCTGTTTCCTTCCTCCCTTCCTTGAAAACCAGGGTTGGGAGGACAGAGCAGTAGCCTGCTGGAGAATACTTATTTTTGTGAGACTATGAGGCAGGAGCCAACTTCCCTCCCCCTGCCTGTGCAAGCGAAGGATGATCACGCAAAAGAGCTCCTTCAGAAAGGAGGGCAAGACGGGACATGATGACATTGTTTTCTGACTTAATAGCTTTAGGCCACTTCAACAGGTTTTCCACTGCACTCATCCTTTTGGCACTCTAAAAGCAGACACATCTGGTGTTGCTTAATACATTGTCACTTGCCCAAAATCTCTGCTTATTTGTAACTTGAAGTAAAAAAAGGGGGGGAGGGGATAAAAATATGAAAGGAGTAAAGCGTGGGAGCAGCTATCAAACAGATGAATAGTAAGGGTTTAGCAGCTGTTCTCACCACAATCCATATCCAGTCAGAAAGCAAACTAAACAAGCAAACATTTTGGGGGCCAGGAAAATGCAAAATATCAGACCAGACTGTGACAAGGTCCTTTTAATTAAAGCTTTAACCTTAAATCGTTCTCCTGCTGAGAACATATTTACAGCTGTAGCATTTTGACCCTGCTTATTTTTGGTGGAACTGATGAGCCACAAGGCTGTAGCCTCTGCAAAACACCAGACTGAACACAGGGCTGCACAGAAACTCCTTTCAGATGTTCTCTGGATACTTGCAGATCTCCTGGTATTCTGAAAAGCACAGATTATTTCCAATACAGTTTTCAAGTTAAAAAGAGGTACCACACAATAAGAGAATATTTCACTTCTGTCAACCAAGTAATCAAACCCTTTTTTGACATTGCAGTCTAACCAAAAACCTCATAGAGCAATTGTGTTCTACCTTAGGCTGCAAATTTCTCTGTGAAAGGGACAAAAGCTGACTGTGGCAAACTTGCAGGCCCTTAGCTATTCCAATGGCAGCCAGCAAGAGACATCCTGACCTCAACCTTTCTTGAGGTTGGGACTGTAAATTCTTCACCCATCCACCTCTGCTTCCTTCCATGCACAATATCCAGTGATCGAGTTTTTCACAGTGATGCAATTTCTCATATTAATAGAAGTCATGATCAAGATCAAGGACCTTTGTGGGCTAGGTGTTGTGCAAACACTTGGTAACAGCTTACAGTCTAAATAAAGGTGAAGTTGTTATCCAAACCCTGGCATCTCTGCATTATGAATTGATGCTCTGTCTCCAGCGTTCTTGAGGGAACACCCTCAGAAGTGTAGTATTTCTCTGCAAGCATCATTGCCTCTATGATTTAATGCAGTCACATTAAACCGTGCTGCATAATGTAACTTGGTATGTCAGTTCCCCTAAGTAATCGGAGCCTTTCAAGCTGTGAGCTCGTCTGTGTTACAGAGATAGGTACTTATTTAACCGTTTGATCATCAGTATCTCTGAGACTACTAGAGGTTAATTAGTTGATTTCACAACCCTTTATAACATGAGAAAGCAGGGATTAGTGCACATACTGGCATTTAAATGGTTGAAAAGGAACATGCATTTGTGAATTATGGTAATTTGTCTTTCCTTTTAGCAAAATTACATTGTTTGCTTTATATTTTCTTTCAGATTCCAAAAGATAAACCTGGAACCTATAAGCCATAGGCCATCAACGTACACTAATACTGTTTTCCTAACTATGAAATAACCAGGTAATTCCATCAATCACCTACTGACTGATAGCATTCCAGCAACAAAGAAGTTGAACTGTAATACTTAAACACATACACACACCCACATATCCATATTTCTAGAACTCAGTGTACTGTACCACCAAGTAAGAGATTTTTCATTTTGGAACATAACTTTCTCTCTCAATCAAATCTTGCTCCATGCTACACCGGAGTTCATGGTGTTACCCTATGAACTTCAAAGAAGTAGTATGGGATTTTGAATAATATCTGCAATAAAGAGCAGATCACGAATGTTACCGTTTTGCCACTTCTTCGTCCAGTTTAAGGTTCATAGCTGTTGTTATTCACTTTCTGTTCTCCTAGTACATGAGAATTTCAGAGATATTAATTAGACACTGTACAAATTCATAATGGACAATATATCAATATTGGAGTAGAACAGAGATTCTGAAAGTACATACTGCCAAATGTTTTTTAGAGGCTGATGTATTGCAACTGTGGTAACTACAGTAATAGTAGTATTACTGTTTGTTTTCTGGCAGGCTATCCCAGGCCTGCTCCGTGCCATTTTACCTCTCCATACCACTACCAGCTTTGACCTCTCCTCAGAGCTGGAATAAAATCAGTGCTATTCACTGTATCACCAGGCCCTGTTCCTCCTCTCCTTTGCCTTACCAACAGCTTTGCTCCTTCTTCCTAGCAAAATGGTGAAATGGGACAGAGCTGCCACAGTCACCTGTGGGTTCTGAGATGGGATAAAGTGAGGGAGGTTTTTCCTGAGGTAGGAAGCTATATACCACAAAGAGTTAGAGTAGGATAGATTCCCACCACCACCTTTGAATGAAGCCCAAAATGGAAGTGAGATTTTATGGGATGCAGTGGATTAGTGAGAAGAGATATAGGGGGAGAGCCCACCACGTCTCTAAAACCTCACCAACTTCATGTCTAAAATACTCATTTTCAAGTGGTGCTGCCCATTGCTAATGCAAGCAGGCACATGTAACAGATGTGCAGCAGGTGACTGAGACAAAAAAAATAGAGGGCAGCAGCAGCAACAGAACAATTTGTCGTTAGTAACAGGTGTATTAGTTCCCTGTTTGACTCAGCTGTGCCAAACAATGCTACTGCCATTCTGGCAGACTTAATTTTAGAAAGGATGTTTAAAAGTGGTGCAGTGGCAGCTGTGTGAATCTCGACGGAGTGTTCCCCCATGAGGAGAGGAAACTGAACAGAAAGTGCAAAGGAGTTTGAGGGAGAGTGAAGGAAATGGCTGAGCCGAGCCAGCGGACATGTATGTACAAATGAATATTCCGTTTTCACATTTGACAGTTCAAAGCAGTAAAAATAACTGTAAGAACACATTAAACAATATCACTGTGTACCCAAGTTTTCTTGTGCTATGTGTACTAGCATAAGAAATAATTCTGCAGATACTCAACAGGTATTTGTTTAGATTTTGCTCTGTTACGTAAATGTAAATCTAGACTATTTTCATTTATTTAAAAGGAGAGACACATAAATGTAAATCTAGACTTATTTCATTTATTTTAATGGAGAGACTGCAGACTTAGATTGGTGTGGTGTGGAAGACAGTGTGACCCACACATATCGTCAAATAAATCAATACTATTTAGTCTGAATTTGAAGAGGTGAAACGGGATTATTTTACAAATAAGCTCATAGTGCAAGTAATGAGGAACTTGCTAGGTTATGTTGGTAAAATTGTGCTATTTGTTTCTCTCAATTAAAATGTGAGAGACTACAGCTAATGAGAAAAGCGCAACTGTCAGTATACTTTGTTCTGACTTCTTATTAAGCTCCGCTTCTAACTATTATTTTGCTGGGTGAGGGAGGACTCCCTATTCTGTATGCATGTCTGTGCATGGGGGTCTAAGTGCCAGAAACTGGAGAGGGGACAACGGGTCATCACAGCAGCCTGTGCGTGGGTAGAAGCAGTGACCGGAGCGAGTGAGGGTACACACGTGAGTGTGTGATCACTAGCAAATATCAAGCCAGACTAGACGGCAGGTAGGATAAGCAGCTTAGGAGCCAGGAATATATGTGTGAGATAACCAGAGGAGCTGGCTACTGGAGGGACCAGGAGGTCCAGGCCAATTGCCGGAGAGACTGTAAGGACTGGGTCAACTGTGAGACCTGTTTGCACATGTGCGTGTCTCTGTGCGGGAGGCAACCGGAGACGAGAGAGTCCAAGGCCCTGGGGTCGGGGCAGACTGAGTGTCTAAGGGTAAGATGTCGAAGGGCAGTTATTGGAGGGATCCACCGCGCATGTGAGTACACGTGTCGGTGGGTGCAAGGAGGTCTGTGTGCCCGCAACTGGAGTGGGGCTGCAGGCCTCAGGGGCTCCTAAGTCCAGATGCCAGCAACTGAGGAGATCGAAGATCCAGGGAGGTAAGTACTGGATAGACTGAGCCTCTAAAGCCAGCTCCTGGAGAGATGCATATTTTGTATACACACGTAAATATTTCCCACTAACAGACCTTCATCCTGACCAGTCAGAGAGGGGAACAGGATGAGGCCACTGGTGCTGTTTGCGTTTGCATGAGTACTGAGTGTTCCTGTCGCTGTTGATCTGTGTAGCCAGCCATGTGTATACGTACATACATGCTGTATACATGTGTTTGTGTGCGTGCCTGTTGGGACCACATGCTTAGCCTCGCTACTGGTTGGAGCTGGGCACGAGGAGCTGCATCAGCCTCACCTCTGTTGGGCTACCGGATTCAGTGACCCCTAATAAATTAGTCTAAAGAAATTGTATTAATTGCAACTGAGGCTCTCCTAAGCATGGAAGAGTCCTCTTGTACAATTGAGATAAATTGTATTATATTTCCAGATGTGAGTACAAGCGCTCTAGCTCAAGAAAAGATGGTGGTTTCATTTCCAAGTTGATGTGTCATACATGGCAAGCATAGGCTTATTTTTTCCTTATTTTTTCCTTATAAAAGGAAAAAACTTTCCTTTTACATATACATGTATCCTGAGTATATTTGTCTTGTAGATTGAACAGATAATATTGATTTTAGTACCTCTCAGTTTTACCCTAGCTTTCTACCTGTAAGGGGGGTGTAAATAAATGAGTGCTGGGTTGGGTGATGGCACAATGTCTGTAGTCCAGGCAAGAACAGACAGTAGACTGTAAGCAGCCTCGGAATATCCTCCTCACTGAAGACATGGCCTGATTTTCTTTAAGATAATCAATTGACTAGAGCAGCAGGATCAAATGCAACTTAACCAAGTTCTGCTTGGATGATGGAATATCACAGATAAAAAGCTGTGATAAAAGCTACTTTTTGCAGGCTTTAAATGTAATCTCTGGTAGCTCTTTAGAGGGATAGACTAGGAATGCTTACTTGCTTTCCAAAACATAGATACACTCAGGGAAAATGTTTTCAAAGGGTCAATCTCTACTTTAAAAAAAAAAAAAAAAAAAGGAAAGAAAAAACCTTAACAGAATTGGTGTGTACCCCACATTGTGAGTGGCTAGTGCAGGTCACTTTGGATAGTGTATAAGAGCAGCAAGGACAACTCTTCTCCCTGCTTTTTTCTGAATAATTACAAGTTAGCTGGGAGGTGTGAAGACCTCTTTGCTGGGTCAGACCAGACGAAATAAAAGATTCACAGCCAGGGAAGTGGTTTGTTGGATTTAAAAAAGAAACGGGGCTGGGGACGACCTTAACTAAAGTCAAAGTCACTGTTGTGAAGGTGGCCGTCCCTTCCTGAGGCATAGCGACTTGCTCTGTTTACACGTCAGGTGCTCTGTTTACACACCTGGTATAACTTAACCCATCGTTTCAAGAGTTTTAGCCAAAGGAGCGTTATACTTTACACCTGGTGGAAGTTTGCCAGCTGTGTAACTTCTAGAGGGATACTTACCATCCATTAGTTTACTGTTCTGCCCTTTGAGGGAGCAAAGACCTAAACTGCAGTTGCATCTCCTGCCCTAAATCAGCACGAATGGTATGTCACGTGTTGCTATATTCAATCTTGTAGACATCTCTAGTTATATATGGCTGTATGGAGATTGCTGCCAGGATTTAGTAGCATATGGCTTTTTAGACTGTACTTAAAGGACCTACAGTAAAGTTCTGATTTTATATGTGCTGTCTTCTAATACACAGACTGATCTACAATCTGAAGATAGGATGAGAGAACTGTTATTATAATAGTGAAATAAGTTGTCTGTTAACGGAAGTAGAGAAGGCCTGCGCTTGTGGAACTGAGGAACGGGGTTCTAACATCAGATGTGAGTAGCTTTTAACTGATAATTTGGTCTGTCGAGACTGGAGTACACAGATTCTATACAATGTGATGCTATCGTGAGGATCTGAGGAAAGAAAACTTTACAAATATAATAGCAAATCTAGGACCTGATAGTGCAGCAGGTACTATATTGATGAAGATGTGAGATGGAAAAACTTATGAAGGCGTTACAGTTTTAAACTGCCCTATATTTAAAGAAAGAGACCTAGTGAACATACAATATCTCTGATAGTTACTGAAAACAAGATTTATTTGGAGGAATGCACAAGTAAAAAGAAAGGTCAAATGTGTTTTTTGGAATAGAGTTTGTTTCTTACTGTATATATGTGTATAGCATCTAAGAGGTTAATCAAGATGCTAATAAAGAACAGACTTTCTAGGTGTAAATTTAATACAACAATAATGTTTCTAATCCCTCTGATACACGCATCAAGTAGATTGTATGAAACAGCTTGTCAGATCTGAAACTGGAGAATCTAACCCGTTTGAAGTCGAGGATGTGCTTTGGGCTAGCAGACTGTCTGCCAGCGTCTCCGTGTTTTCAGGAACAAGAGAAACAGCTTGCCATAAGCTTTGTCTAAGGCTGTTTTACCAGTCTGCTTTTATTTTTTAAGTTAAGACGTCAGTCTCTCCAAAACACACTCAAATTTACCTCGGCAGGAAATTTTACAGCTGTTAGTGAATAATGTATTATTAATAATATAATTATTAATACATGCAAAGCATTATATGCTGACTGATATTTTACTCTTTAAGAGATGTGTTCTGCTGTGCAAGTAATCCTAACAATAGGCATGACATTTTGGAAATACTGCCTTTGATGTTGCCGGGGTTGTCTGAGGTCGTCTTTCTTAACATCTTTGCTACTGTGCCGATGGCCTATCGCTTGTTCTGCTTGCTGCCAATTATTAATACATGCAAAGCATTATATGCTGACTGATATTTTACTCTTTAAGAGATGTGTTCTGCTGTGCAAGTAATCCTAACAATAGGCATGACATTTTGGAAATACTGCCTTTGATGTTGCCGGGGTTGTCTGAGGTCGTCTTTCTTAACATCTTTGCTACTGTGCCGATGGCCTATCGCTTGTTCTGCTTGCTGCCGTTTGCCTGCTCAAACGCGCTTCCAGTCAATGTGCTGTTGAACATTTAATGGCTGCCTAACAAATTACGAGACTGAAGCTAACTC